AGGGGTTAACTGTCAGAGGAAAGATGTATTCACGGCATCCGGTTGCGTTCTAATGAAAGCACACGGGAAGGAGGGGGAAGGAGCGGGGGGAGGGGGTTGCGAGCCTTCACGGGCAAGTGAGCACCACACAAATCTCGCGACTTAAATCAGCAGAACGCGGGGCCAGAGCCGACACGGCCACCACGCACAAAGACAAAGATCCCCCGTGTAGCCTCAACAGACTGTTGGGGCAAGTGCTGTTCGCGAGCACCTACGAAGGGCGGCACGGCACACGAGGGGGGGGGGGGGGTGGATGGCCATCAGCACGCCCGGCCGCCTTTGTCTCTCGAGGGGAGATGTTTAAACACGGCACCAGGTACTCATTTGAGGCCGAGTCGACCTACTGAGAGGGCCAGGACCGGTTTCATATTTGTTACTGTTGCTAGCCGTGAGTGGGAATCGAACTCGGGTCGCCAGGTTCGTAGGGCAGTGCGTGACCTGCTACACTACCGCTCGCCAAAAAAAACACAGACAAAGGTCCCCCGTATAGGCTGAACAGAGACTGTTGGGACAAGTGCGATTAGCGAGCGCCTGTGAAGGCCGGGACGGCTCACGAGGGGGTTGGGGGCGGACCAGCACTGCGCCCGGCCGCCTTTGTCTCCCCATTGCACACAGCCAGTGTCGGCTCCTCGGCACGGACACAAGGGGGGATCCCCGGCGTCTGGTTACAGTGAACGTGGGAGCCGATTCAACCCATCATTCTTCCCACCCAGGGTCGATAAAACGAGTAACAACTACTTTGTGGCAGTCAACAGTTGGTTGTGCTATGGATTGACTCTCTCCCGCCATAGGAATATGGAATTATCACCACATGGCCCTGGCAGGGCTGTGAGTGGGAGATGGGCACACAACGTCTCAATTGCTCATTGGAGCAGCAGCAGCAGCAGCAGGAGATCACTTTGACTCTCCTGACATCGGGGGAGATGCAAGCCTGGGGGCCTATCCCCGCCAACGCCACGCGAGCCAGAGAGCAGTGGCATGGAGTGCCTCTCACGTCGGGATGGGAGGGGGGGCTAGGGGAGGAGGAGGGGGGGTGGCTGAGCTAACTAAAATATACAAACGTGCGGTGAGCAAAAGTAATAAATAATCTAACTCGCATAATAGGAAAACACGCGCGGTGCAACCGCCCGTGAAACGTGGCCGTCCCCACCGCAACACCCCCCCCCCTACTCCCCATAAAAAATACCCCAAGAAATTCACGGCAAGGATGAGACTTTCTTTTTCTGGGAGGTGGGGTGCCAGAGGTGAAGGCGGGGGGGGGGGGGTTTGGGAAAGTAGGGAGTGATTAAAAACGAGAAGCGGCACGTAATGTGTGGGCCGGGCCTTGCCTGGATTGGTGTGGATTGTGAGCCGAGTTGGTCTCTCTCCCTGTGCCCCTGCTTTGGCATTTGGGGTCGGAATGAGACGCAACGGGGATGGTTGACTCGACTCGAGAGGACAATGATCCACAAACGGCTGCTGCGTGCAGGAGGAGCGATAGAAGAGAGGAAGAACGAGGAGGAGGAGGGTGGAGATGAAGAGGCGGGAAGAGTAGAAGTACGGAGAGGGGTGGACGTCGGGGGAGGATGGACAGGGATGCGTGGAGAGGAGGATGAGAGGAGGAGGATGAGAGGAGGAGGAGAGGAGGAGGATGAGAGTGGATGCAAGAGGATGGGGAGGCAGGGGATTAAAAGGAGTAGTTGGAGAAGAGGTTGAGAGGGGGAGGAAGAGAGGAGGAGAGGGGGGTGCAGGAGGGCGGAAATGAAGAGATATTGAACAGTGGCGTGAGACGAGAAGAGAGGAGAGAGAAGGAGATGCAGGAGGATGACGAATATGACTTAGAAGAGGGGAGGGAGGCTCGAAGCTATGGGGAGGGGGGAGAGGTGGAGGGGGGGATGCAGGCTGCGAGGAGACACTGAGAGTTCGTCATAATTTATTAATCCGCTCAAAATGCGTTGCGTCTTTGAGGCTGATGTGGTTCGCTCACTTTCATATCCCCCACCCCCATCCTCCCAGCCATCACCGGTATTTGATTATTTTCTATAATCGATTAACAGGGTTAATCGAGGAATCACTTCAGATCTGCGTGGCACGCCCAGAACCAAGTTCCCTGGGAGCCCAGCAGCCGATTACCCAAACCAATGGTTTGGTCTGCGGTTAGACCGACCCCTGCCATGAGAATATGGAATTTCCACAACTGGCTCATACACTCTGGGGGGTTCGGAGAAGTTGGGAGCGGTGGTGCAGTGGTTGGTGCCATTGGCCCAAGTTCCATTTCTGGCCACAGCCAAGATCAGTGGAGATTGATATCTGACCAAGTCTTGTTGGACCTCCCCTAGGTCGACTCAGGATTAAGTGAGCACCTGCAAAAATCAGCACTCGGTAGACAAAGGCGGCCGGATAGAGAGCTGGCCACACCACCACCTTGTGTGCCGTGCCGGCTCTGATAGGCGCTCGCTAACAGTACTTGCTCCAACAGTCTGTTCAGGCTACAGGTGAGGGGGGGGGAGAGTTTTCACCTCGTGGATGTATTGTCTGTGCATGTTCATGTACGTGTATATGCATGCGTATGTGGGTGTCATGTAGCCTTAAAGTGCACATAGCCTGGCACAAGAGTTGTGGTGACGTCACCGCCACTTAGTGGCGAATGGCAGTTGTTGGTGTACGTGTGTGTACGGAGTCGCCCTCCAACAACAACGGAGGGCGGAGGAGCGACGCTCACAACAACGAGCAGAGCGCCGGGTGGCTAAAGCACAGCAAGTTGGCACAGTAGGGGGCAGAGGTGGTGCATCAGCCAGTCATCTCAGTCAGTCGACCTGTGGCACCTGGGTATGCCCCGTGACCTCCTGCCAGCGGGCGTTCGACACTTCACGTGGCCTCAAGGTGAGCATAGCCTGGCACAAGCGTCGTGGTGACGTCTCCGCCACTTAGTGGCGAATGGCGGTTGTTGTTGGTGTATGTGTGTGTACAGAGTCGCCCTCCAACAACAGCGGAGGGCACAGGAGCGACGCTCGCAGCAACGAGCGGAGCACCGGGCAGCTAAAATGCAGCAAGTTGGAACAGTGAGGAGCGCAGATCGTGCATGTGCCAGTAATCTCGGTCAGTCAACCCACGACACCCGGGTCTGTCCCGTGACCTTCTGCTAGCAGCGAGCTTTCGACATCTCATGTGGCATCAAAGTGCAGATCGCCTGGCACAAGCACCGTGGTGACGCAAACGCCACTTGGTGGCGAATGCCAGTTGTTGTCGTGTACACGTGTGTATGTGTGTATGTGTCTGTATGTGTGTATGTATGTGGCACTGGTGCGTGAGATGCGTGCGCGATGGAGCTGTTCACTCGAAGCCAGCACGGCCAGACAAGCACCACCCCCTCCCCTGCACCTCCCACCCCCAAAAGCCCCCCACCTTTGCTAATTTAATCACTGCTAATTACTGCCCCCTTCCTTCCCCAACGCAGCCCCCCGCCACTACCCCCGACCACCCCTCTGGCTCCGCGTGGCTTGGGGAGGACGGAGACGAACAACCTGACGGCGCCCTCTGCTGGAGACGGAGACAAGCGGGGGAGACGGAGACACACGGGGGGGAGACGGAGACACGGGGGGGAGACGGAGACACGCGGGGGGAGACGGAGACACGGGGGGGAGACGGAGACACACGGGGGGGAGACGGAGACACGGGGGGGAGACGGAGACACGCGGGGGGAGACGGAGACACGGGGGGGAGACGGAGACACACGGGGGGGAGACGGAGACACGGGGGGGAGACGGAGACACGCGGGGGAGACGGAGACAAGCGGGGGAGACGGAGGCACGCGGGGGAGACGGAGACGGAGACACGCGGGGGAGACGGAGACGGAGACACGCGGGGGAGACGGAGACGGAGACACGCGGGGGAGACGGAGACATGCGGGGGAGACGGAGACAAGGGGGGGAGACGGAGACAAGCGGGGGAGACGGAGACAAGCGGGGGAGACGGAGACACGCGGGGGAGACGTTGACACGGGGGGGAGACGGAGACACGGGGGGGAGACGGAGACAAGCGGGGGAGACGGAGACACGCGGGGGAGACGGAGACACGCGGGGGAGACGGAGACACGCGGGGGAGACGGAGACAAGCGGGGGAGACGGAGACATGCGGGGGAGACGGAGACAAGCGGGGGAGACGGAGACAAGCGGGGGAGACGGAGACAAGCGGGGGAGACGGAGACAAGCGGGGGAGACGGAGACAAGCGGGGGAGACGGAGACACGCGGGGGAGGGGGAGACGGAGACACGCGGGGGAGACGGAGACACGGGGGGGAGACGGAGACACGGGGGGGAGACGGAGACACGGGGGGGAGACGGAGACACGGGGGGGAGACGGAGACACGGGGGGGGAGACGGAGACAAGGGGGGAGACGTGCGAGGCACAAGAAGTCACAAACACAAGGAGACACGAGCCAACATAGGGAGACACAGAGACACACAGGGAGACACGGCGAGACACGGAGACATACAGGGAGACACGGCGAGACACGGAGACACACAGGGAGAGACGGCAGAGACGCGTGGAGGACGAGGGGGTAAACGGGCGGGGAACGCTGCGCCGCCGCCACCACCACAATCCGGTCTACAAAACCACGACGGCTCGAGTTCGACACCCGGATCCGGGTGGGCATCAGAGCGGTAGTGGAGTGGCGACGGTGTGTGATGTCACCATGGCGATGTCGGTGTGACATCACCCTGGCGATGTCGGTGTTACGTCACCCTGGCGATATCGGTGTGACGTCACCGTGGCGATGTCGGTGTGACATCACCCTGGCGATATCGGTGTGACGTCACCGTGGCGATGTCGGTGTGACATCACCCTGGCGATTTCGGTGTGACATCACCCTGGCGATATCGGTGTGACGTCACCGTGGCGATGTTGGCGCTCAAGGGGGGTGGGTGGGGGTGGCTGGGTGAGGCGATCGGGGGGGGGGGGGGGGTGGTGGCGGGCACTTACTGCACGCACGATCCCTTCCGCTTCGTCCCGTGGGCAGACGCCCGGGCTGCTTCCCTGGCTCACGTTCAAGCTGCGGTGGGGCAGCAGGGGGAGGGAGTGAATGAGGGAGGAGGAGCAGAGTCAAGTTGGGCACCGTGGTAATGGCGGCACCGATGAAGCAGCCGCCACTCCGTGGGACACCGCCGCTGCCAGGTGCAAATGAGGTTCGGTCTCGAGTGAGGTGGGGTGTTCAATGAGGTTCGGGCTTTAAACAAAGTTCACTTCGTCTCCAATTACGTTTCAATCGTTCTGTGGGCCGCTTTCTTTGGTTTTTCATTTACTCAGAATTCTGCAGTGGCGAGCGGTGGATCACCGTGAGATGCAACCACTCCGGAAATTTGACGTCACAAAACTACGCACAAAGTAACTTCAGCAGCCACGTGGCAGTGGTGGCAGTGGTCGGGGTTGTAGCGGTGGTGGCGGTGGCAGTGGTGGCGGTGGTGGCTACGCTGATGCTGCTGCAGTGGCTGTCTGTAACCCAGCACTGTGGAGGCAGCAGCAAGGGTTGGTGGATCACCGCACAGATGGTTGTGAAACTCCTTTCCCGTGGGCGTCGAGGAGGAGCCATACCCTGGCTCGCCAGGAGAAGGGAGTACAACAAGTGGACCAATTGCCATCTGTTTCCATCAGCACGGGGATAGAGCGTTGCCCCCTCGTGCAATGTATGGGTTTTCTCCGGGTGCTCCGGTTTCCTCCCACTTGTATAATCAACACGACTCGCCATTAAATCGGCTGAAAAACATCTGAAAATACCAAATGTGGCAGAACATTCCTGAAAAAGTCCTATGACTCGGCATGGCTCTCGAGCGTGAATAAGTTCTGATTAGAGCGCTTTCTCCGTGCTCGAGGTGCACACTTTAATACACACGCTGCATCATACCAAACCAATATGTCAATAAAACTAGGGAAAGACAGAGGGAGCAGAGGGAGGGAGCAGGGGGAGGGAGCATGGGGGGGAGCATGGGGGGGAGCAGGGGGAGGGAGCATGGGGGGGGAGCAGGGGGAGGGAGCAGGGGGAGGGAGCATGGGGGGGGGAGCAGGGGGAGGGAGCAGGGGGAGGGAGCAGGGGGAGGGAGCAGGGGGTGGGAGCAGGAGGAACCAACATTTGTACATCTCAGAGCTGGAGTCTGGGTGTTTTTTTCCACGCAATCATTGGCATCCGGGCCGGGGCGCCCGGCTCTCTGTGCGTGAGAACACGGAGACACTCACTCCGGTTGGGCCGCTCACAAAAACTCAACCTGGAGCCGGCTCGGAGTCAGAGGCCTCGCGAGCCGCCCCGAGCGGGTTCGCTTGGGACCGGCTCGTCCGCTCGTTAGCGCCGCGCCATCGCCGGCGGTCGGCCCAGCCGTGGGTCACGGTCGCGGCGACGAGGGGGTGGGTGGGGGTGCTGTCTGCTCACCAAGACAGTTCCCCGGAGTCCTTCCTGGACACGAGACTCTTCCAGAATGCGTGCGTCTCGCGCACGACCCTGAGTGCAAACTCCTGATGTGCGGGGACACAAGGGGAGACGCAGAGAGACAGAGAGAGCGTGAGATACGCACGAGATGCACAAAACGCAAGCAACACGAGGGGCAAACGCAGGCAACACACAAGAGGCACGTGACACAAGAAACACAAAGGCGGCCGGGCGAGGCTTTGGCGGCCACCCACCCCCTCGTGTGCCGCGCCAGCCCCCACGGGTGCTACTCGCTAACAGCACTTGCCCCAACAGTCTGTTGTAGGCTACACTAGGGACCTTTGTCTTTGTGTGTCACCTTGTTCTTGAACTGCCCTCCGAATGCAAACTCGTTCTCGGGTTTCCCATCGGGGATCTTGTAGAGACGGAACCAGTCGATCGTCGCCTCCAGGTAGCCGGGCTTGAGCCGGCGCACATCCTCAATGTCTGAGCCACGACACACCACCACCAATCACCACCACCACCACCAATCACCACCACCATCACCACCACCACCACCATCACCACCACCACCACCACCAATCACCATCACCATCACCACCACATCACCACCACCACACCACCACCACCATCGCCACCACCACATCACCACCACCACACCATCACCACCACCATCACCACCACCATCACCACCACCATCACCACCACCATCACCACCACCACATGACCACCACCATCACCACCACCACCACCACATCACCACCACCACCACACCATCACCACCACCATCACCACCACCATCACCACCACCATCACCACCACATGACCACCACCATCACCACCACCACCACCACATCACCACCACCACCATCACCACCACATCACCACCACCAATCACCACCACCACCAATCACCATCACCACCACCATCACCACCACATCACCACCACCACACCACCACCACCACCATCGCCACCACCACATCACCACCACCACACCATCACCACCACCATCACCACCACCATCACCACCACCATCACCACCACCATCACCACCACCATCACCACCATCACCACCACCACATGACCACCACCATCACCACCACCACCACCACCACCACCACATCACCACCACCACACCATCACCACCACCATCACCACCACCACATGACCACCACCACTCTCGCCACGACCGGTCGCACCATGCAGGCTGGCGGCGTCGGGGTCGTTGACGTCAATGGCGATGAGTTTCCAGTCGGTCTCCCCCTCGTCGATCAGAGCCAGGCAGCCGAGCACCTTCACCTGCACCACCTCGCCACGCGTGCACACCTGCATGCACACATGGAACACACACACGCTGGAGCATGCACGCACGCATGCACACACACGGAAGACACAAGCACACACACACGGAAGACACACTGCACACACACACGGAAGACACACTGCACAAACACGGAAGACACACTGCACACACACACGGAAGACACACTGCACACACACGCTCGCAACGCATGCACACACGCTCGCAACGCACGTACACACGCTCGCAACATATGGACACACGTTCGCAACACACGCTTGCACCACACAAACACACACACTGGAGCGCGCACATGCACGGCACACACACACACGCACACACAAACACACACACTGGAGCGTGCACACACACGCACACACACACACACTGGGAAACACTTGTGCCATACCCGGGAGCCGATCTCGCACACGTCAATGGGGTCGTTGTCTCCGCAGCAGCCGGTGTCCGCATCCTTGTGGCTGGGGTCCTCCCACGTCTGATGACAAAGACAAAAGTCCCTGTGTAGCTTTCACAGCATTTCGGGGCAAGTGCTGTTAGCCCAGCGCCTACAAAGTCCGTAATGGAGCTGACGATTACAGACAGTGCCAGGTGCTCGTTTCATGCCGAGTGTACTTAGGGATGTGTCCCGAGCGGTTCAGATATTATTCTCCACCAGGTGTTGGCCGTCGCCGGGAATCGAACTCAGGTCGCTGGATTCTCAGCGCAGTGAGATAACCACCGTGCCATCACTCCTGAACAAATGAATATGTAAATGCAAGTGATGCTCCCTTGTCACCCCCACCTCCCCCCCCCATGAGATATGTCAATGCCGTGATGCGTTATAAAGGTGCACTTGAGCATGACTTTAGAGTATTTTACCATGAATATTTCTTCAAACCTCAAGTGGGACAGCCCAGAAGACAAAGCCTCGGCGTGGAGCTGCTACAGAGCTGGTTGTTGTCTTGTGTGGGTGGTGTTTGTCTTTAATTTATTTAGATCTCCAGACTAACAGATTCTACCCTTAACCCTAACCCGAACTGCACCAACCAACCAGATCTTAACCCCAAAAGCCAATCGGGTCCTGACCCTATCAGCCAACCAGATTCTAACCACAACAGCCAATCGGATCCTAACCACACCAGCCAATCAGATTCTGACCCCAACAGCCAATCAGATGCTAACCTCGCTGGTGTAGCGGATAGCTGCCACTGCCCACATGCCCCGACCGTGACCCCCGACCGTGACCCCCCGACAGCGACCCTGACCTGCGGGAGGGCGCCGTAGTTCCAGATGTATCCGTGGTGAGGGAAGACGTTGGCGACAAAGCGAAGCTTTCCCTTCTTCACGTCCTGCTTGATTGGGTTCAGCGGGTCCTTTGTGGCGATCTGAGGAGCGGTGACGCAACACAAGGGGCAGAAGCTGTTACCGCGGCGACAATGACGATGGAGACGACGATCGTGTGAGAGAGCCGCCCCCACACGCGCCACATCATCCATCACCGCATCCCAACAACGAGTTTAAAAGGGCACGCCCAGAGGCAGCGGTGACTCAGCACCACTGGCCCGCAAGCCGGTATTAGTCTGCCAGTAGGGGGCGATGCTGGCTGCTGTGTGCCTATTGGTATCCCAATTGAGTGTTTTGCGGTGTCATTTTCAAATTTGTCAAATTCCTCACGTATTATAAACATCACGTATTATAAACATCACGTATTATAAACAGCTTGCGCGTTACTTAATTGGGAAAACCCACGGAGCGACATCGCCCCCTAAAGTCAGAACAATGCCCACTTGCTGGCCGCTCACCCCCCTACAGTCAGAACAATGCCCACTTGCTGGCCGCTCACCCCCCTACAGTCAGAACAATGCCCACTTGCTGGCCGCTCGCCCCCCTACAGTCAGAACAATGCCCACTTGCTGGCCGCTCACCCCCCTACAGTCAGAACAATGCCCACTTGCTGGCCGCTCGCCCCCCTACAGTCAGAACAATGCCCACTTGCTGGCCGCTCACCCCTCTACAGTCAGAACAATGCCCACTTACTGGCCGCTCGCCCCCCTACAGTCAGAACAATGCCCACTTGCTGGGCGCTCGCCCCCCTACAGTCAGAACAATGCCCACTTACTGGCCGCTCACCCCCCTACAGTCAGAACAATGCCCACTTGCTGGCCGCTCACCCCCCTACAGTCAGAACAATGCCCACTTGCTGGCCGCTCGCCCCCCTACAGTCAGAACAATGCCCACTTGCTGGCCGCTCACCCCCCTACAGTCAGAACAATGCCCACTTACTGGCCGCTCGCCCCCCTACAGTCAGAACAATGCCCACTTGCTGGGCGCTCGCCCCCCTACAGTCAGAACAATGCCCACTTACTGGCCGCTCACCCCCCTACAGTCAGAACAATGCCCACTTGCTGGCCACTCGCCCCCCTACAGTCAGAACAATGCCCACTTGCTGGGCGCTCGCCCCCCTACAGTCAGAACAATGCCCACTTGCTGGCCACTCGCCCCCCTACAGTCAGAACAATGCCCACTTGCTGGGCGCTCGCCCCCCTACAGTCAGAACAATGCCCACTTGCTGGGCGCTCGCCCCCCTACAGTCAGAACAATGCCCACTTGCTGGGCGCTCGCCCCCCTACAGTCAGAACAATGCCCACTTGCTGGGCGCTCGCCCCCCTACAGTCAGAACAATGCCCACTTGCTGGGCGCTCGCCCCCCTACAGTCAGAACAATGCCCACTTGCTAGCCGCTCGCCCCCCTACAGTCAGAACAATGCCCACTTGCTGGCCGCGAACACCGCAGGGACAGCTGCCATTGGGGGGGCTCTCGCCATCTCCCCCCCCCCCCACCCAGACCGCAGCGGGGCAGTGGAAGGGTAGCGATGAGATATGGGATGCAAGGTGGTTTGAGTTGGCGAGCCATTCAAGCAAGGGTCCTCTATGCAGGGGGGGGCCGGCTCCACGCTCGACGTCATGGAGAGGCGATCGCTACGGGCGACGTGCCTCGTACGTTCGCCCCGCGTTTGACGCAGGAAAACAATGACGACGTCTCCGCCGTCTCCGCCGCAGAATGACCGCCTCGTCTGACGCGCGCTTGACACCGCGCGTGTTTTTGTTTACGTGGCCGGGATAAGTGGCAGACGCATGCAGGCGTGCTCCCGGGCTGTGCCACGCCAACAACCGCCACGGCAACAACCTCCACGTCACCACCACAACCACATCACCGCCACTACGTCAACAACCGCCAAGTCACGACCAGTTCAACGACCATATCACAACCACTTTGTCAACAGCCAAAACATCCATGTAACCACAACATCCACGTCACCGCAACATCCACGTCACCGCACGGCCACTCACCTCCATCTTCGCGTTGGTCCACCGAGGCACCTCCACCACCATGTTGAACACTGGCTGCTGCTGGGGGGGTTGGGGCACGGGGTTGGCATGGGGGAGCAGAGGTGGGAGAAAGAGTTGAGACGCAATTGAAAAACCAGTAACGGCTGTCCGACGAGCGTTACAACTGCCAAAAACAAACAGGGGTTGTAACTTACTGACCCAACACAATACAAAGCTCCCCCAGACGGGGACACGGGCTGCTGGGGCAAGAACTGCTAAGCGAGTAGCACCCATGAAGGCCGTCGCACGAGGGGCTGGGTCAAAGGCACCGCGCCGGGCCGCCTTTGTCTCCCGACTGCTGATACGTACGCATGTTGAACTTTTTTCGCACCGTTCGTAGCCAACCGTGCAAGTCAGAGGTGTGGGGTAAGGACAACAAACGAAGCATCTCGCACGCTCGGTCCATCCTCATTCAATGCCGAGTCGACCTAGGGGAGGCCCCGGACCAGGGCAGACATCGAACGCTGGTTGCCGGGTTCGAGGTGCAGCACACTAGTGACTGCACTACCACCACCGCTCCGAATATTGTTTACATACTGTACGTATAAAACACACGTACGTACACACACACACATAACCCTATACGTACGCCTACTGACTTACGCATTGGCAACGCATGGGGTCAGATATAGGGGACCCATGGGGTCAGAGACAGGGGGGTTAATGGGGTCATAAACAAGGAGGACCCATGAGAAAATTAAAGACGTGCGGGGTGAGAAAACTGGACCCCATGGGTCCTCAACCACGGACCCCCAGAGAGGGATTCTTTGAGCGAGTCTCCGGGGGGGAGGGGGGCAGAGGAGGGAGAGCCCCCCCCCACCCCACCGAGCGCTCGTTAGTGCTTATGCCCCGCCCACTCCCCAGCCCCCCTGGAGGGGCTCGTTATCGGAGACGCACGCAATGAACGCGCGCTGTGCGGATTGGGGAGTGGGGGGGGGAGATAACTGATAGGGAGCGGGGCGATGGGGGGGGGTCGAACTATCGGTGTCTTCATGGTGGACAGGGGCCCTCCTGCCCCCCTGCCCCACACGCAGATCACGCACAACCACGCACACACACGCACACACACACACATAACAATAACAACCACAGCTCACAACCACAAGGGACTAGATACAGCCATACACACACAGCCACTCGCAGCCACCTATAGCCAGACACAGCCACACGCACACAACCACACACACACACACAACCACCTGTAGCCACGCACACAACCACACACACACACACAACCACACACACACAACCACCTGTAGCCACGCACACAACCACACACACACACAACCACACACACACAACCACCTGTAGCCACGCACACAGCCACACACACACAACCACACACACAACCACACGCAGTGCCGCTGTGGGAAGCGGTGATCACCGCGTAGCACTAATGAGCGAGCGCCGAGCGAGCTCACGCGGAATTAACGAGGCACACGGTGGGGGGAGGGGGGCAGCAATCACACACAAAGGCAAAGATCCCCCGAATAGCCTTTAGCAGACTGTTGGGGCAAGTGCTGTTAGCGAGCGCAGATGAAAGCTGCCTTTGTCTCCCCAGTGACGATGTTTGCACACCGACACCAGGTGTACTCGTTTAAGGCTGAGTCTACCTAGGGGAGGCCCAGGACTGGTTCAAAAAATTGTCACTGGTGTTGGCCGTGAGCAGGAATCGAACTCGGGCTTGCCGGGTTCGCCGTGCAGTACGATATAACTACGACTCTACCGCTCCCCTTCCGGAGACACGCCCGCACACGCACAGAGACGCGGGCACACGCACAGAGACGTGGGCACACGCACAGAGACGTGGGCACAGGGAGACGCGGGCACAGAGAGACGCGGGCACAGGGAGACGCGTGCCCGTACGGTGCCGCTGCCGCGTGCGTCGCCGATTATTTATAACGCCGACGACGCCGCCGCCGCCGCCGCGGCCGCCCGCTCCGGCGCTGCACGGAGATTAGGGGCGCTCTAAGTGCGCGCCTCGTCAGGAGAGAATAGCGCGCGAGAAACGACGGATGAAGAGCAGGAGGGGGGTAGGGAGTTGGGGGGCACCGGATTTAATCAGCACTCGCACTACACGGGGCGGGGGAGCGGGGTTCATCACACCCATCTCACCCCCCCCCTCCAAACCTCTTCCAGCTCCACCGGTTGCCGCTGGTAACGGCCGAGTTGTGGAACAGGGGGACGCCGGGAGGCTTGGGACCAGGGATCGAATCGCCCGGCGTCTCCCCCCCTCCTCCTACGAGCATCGTTTATGGGGGGGTGGCTCCCAAAGGATTCTCCGCTCCAACCACGCGCCCTTCCGTGCCAGAGTTTGCGATGAGCTCGTCGCAAGCCCCCGCTGCGTCACAGCGGGGCAACTCGCCGCAATCCAGCCGAGCCGGCGCTCGGAGGCCTGGGCCATTGGACCACCCAGGCGAGGGTCGAAGGTCGTGGACCCGGGGGGCGGCGGTGGCGGCTACGCTGCACGTGGGATGACCCTGACCCACCGCTGTGGAGGCAGCAGGAGCAGCAGCGAGGGTTGGTGGATCACTGCACCAACTGCCTTCCCGTGGCCGTCGAGGAGGTGCCGTACCCTGGTTCGCCAGGAGAGGGCGTTACAGCAAGTACAAGAAGCGCCATCTGTTTTTCTCCCGGTGCTCCGGTCTCCTCCTCCCAAGTGTACGATGAACACAAACTCATCATTCTTTGCCAGCGAATGTCTTGAAATAAAAATCCCACGTAGCTGCAGCACCCTCCTGTAAACCAGTCCTACGACTCAAGTATGGTTCTCCTGGATGGATAAGCAAATCATCGCGGGTTGAGTGTTGCCGAACCTACGGAATGAGAGACAGCAAGAGCAACCCACTGGGACGATGAGAGTTGAGTTTGGGTCGATTCGATTGTTTGGCCGAGTTGGGTGGTGGAGGGTTCGGAGCGTGTGCACGGATCAAGCGACGCGAGGTGCGCAGGTCTTTAAATGAGCAGTCGGTCGCCACCGGGACAAAATGTATTGTAATTCGTTCTCTTGCAATCATAATAACAGTAAGTGATAACAATTTCAACTTGTAATGCACCGTATGGTATCCAAGAGGTTGACTCGGAGGCGCCCAGAGGAGAAACCACGGAGGAGCGGGAAGGCAACAGCCCCGCACGCGACAGAGAACCGGTGCCAAAGTCCCCTCCAAGGTCTGCGGTCCTCTATTTATCAAGGTGTTAGTGGAACAACTGACGAGGCTTTAAATGTGGGAGGAAATGGGAGCACCTGAAAACACCCACGTGTGCTCCTGGGCAACACTCGATCCCATCCAGATGGAACGGGTGGAGTACACGCTCTGCTGTGCCACCTTCTCCTGGCAAGTCAGGGTATTGCTACTCCTCTCTGCCCACGGAAGTTACAACAAGATTCGTGCGGTGATCCAGCAACCCTTGCTGCCGCCTCCACGGTGCTGGGTTACAGACAGCCACGTGTTGTGTGGTCTCCGCCGCCACTGCCACCCAGCTGCTCTGTCTCCAAGTGTTCGGCAACGCTCTGATCAAAGTGGCCGGTTTTCGGTTGGGCGAGTTCCGAATAGCAGCGGCTGCTACTTTTATCCTCGAGTTTCGTTCACAATGGATCAACATGACGAGCGACATCGTCCCCCCCCCACCCCCCCACGCTTTCACCCCGAGTCGGAAGCTGGACGACGCTCATTTCCATTGGCAGCCCTGAGCCGGCGCTTAAAATAATTCCACATTGCTATGGCAGGGGGCCATCACAGCCACAGGACAAGCCCCACCCTGGCTGCGGAGCAAAGGTTGTGTCACTGTGATGTCAGGACCTCTCCGCTCACTAAACACACACGGGATCATTCGGGCTGAACTCACACTCGCTCGGACAAAGACTCCTTGTCTATCCGTACCCGCTGCTGGGATGAGCGTTGTTAGCGAGCACCGATTTCGCCACCATGACTACGACCCCCGACTACACAGAAAAGCCTCGTCGAGTATCGCTTCTCTCTTCTTAGGGGGGGGCCCAGCCAAACTTTTTATCTTGCCAGCAGGGTGCGCCCCTCTCGATGATGATGATGATGTGTATTGATTCATACCAGTGAGGTTGGCACAGCGCACGGGGCAGAGATGGGGGGGGGGGCATGGCCGCCGTCACACTCAGCTGCTTTTGTCTCCCCCAGTGCTGATGGTTACACTGCAAAAGGTGCTCGTTTGAGGCTGAGTTGACCTAGAGGAGGTCCAGGAAGTTGCGATATCGCTGGCTGGGAATCAAACCCAGGTTGCCAGGTTTGTGCGCGAGACGTGTGTGGGTAGGAGAGCACCTTCTCTCAACGTGTCATTATCGTTCGCCCCTTATGCAAGACCCTCACTCCCACCCTATACAAAAGACAAAGATCCCACCCGTATGGCCTCATAAGACTGTTGGGGCAAGTGCTGTAAGCGAGCGCTGATGAAGGCCGGCACTGCACACGAGGGGGTGGGAACCTAGCGCCACGTCCGGCCACCTTTGTCTCCCTAGTGGTGATGTCTACACACTGCAAGAGGTACTCATTTGAGGCTGAGTCGACCTAGAAGAGGCCCAGAACCGGTTAAAATATTCGCCGCTGTTATTGGTCGTGAGCGGAAATCGAACTTGTGTCACTGGGTTCATAGCGCAGTGCACTAATCATGACGCTATTGCTCCCGATACACCATCATACACACACCCCATCACACACACCCCATCACACACACGGCGAATGAACCCCATCATCCTCCACAGCTCTAAGCTCACAGAACCCGGCTCTGAAATCCACAAAATCCAACGCTGTCGCTCACGCAACACCCATGCATGACCCCACCAGTACACACAAAGACAAAGATTCCCCGCATAGCCTGAACAGACTGTTGGGGCAAGTCTGTTCAGGCTATAAACGGCACACAATGGTGGTGGGTGACCAGCACACCACGCTCGGCCGCCTTTGTCTCCCCAGTGGCGACATTTACACATCGCACCAGGTACTTGTTTAAGGCCGAGTCGACTGAGGGGAGGCCCAGGATCGATCCAGATAATTGTCACTGGTGTTGGCCGCTAGCGGGAATGGAACTTGGGTCGCCGGGTTCATAGCGCAGCTCGCTAAACACCTACACTACCGCCCCCCACAGCACACACGCATGTGGGCACACGCACACACACGCATGTGGGCACACGCACACGCACACACGTCGTTTGAACACCCGCAGTGGGGGTCCTGCGAACAATGGTAGAGCGGGCGTGGGGGGGGCAGCATTGGCTCGGCAAGGGGGTCAGCAAGGTAGAGAGTAGGGACAGGGGACAGGAGGGGCTGGGGTAGAGGGGACATGGGGCAGGATGGGGGAGCAGGGGGGAGCAAGGCCACACGGCAGGGGTGGGGGGGTGACCGTGGTTTTGGGGTGGGGGTGGGGCGAACGCTGGGAAGAGATTTGGAAAATCAAGGCGGTGGAAAATCGCTTTACGAGAAAATGCGAGCGGCTGGGCTGTGGGATCAGCCAGGCAATTACACAGAGTGGGGATTGGCCGCGGTGCAATTTCCAGCAGGCGCACGCACGCACGCACGCACCCACGCACGCTTAAACGCACACAAGCGCTCGCACCCGCGTGTACACACATGTACAGAGGTACATGCAAGCAGACGCACGTCCTCACCCGCACGCACTCACTCGCATGCACAGACGCACGCACGTTGTTTTTTTGTAACCAGTTAAACGATTCCCCCTTTCCCCAAGGAGGTTCATCGAGTCCTCGTGACAGCCCCTACCCCCAATCCCCAGAGGGGCTAGGGGTGGTGGTGGTGCGGTGGGTGGGGGTCGGGGTCGATTAAATTCCCGCCTTCTCGTTTGTAACGTTTGCCCATCGTGCTGCGTTGATTATAAATGATTATAAACCACGGGCCTGTTCGGATATTCCATCATGCGACATCGGGAAATTGAACTCGGCTTGCCGGGATTCGTTATCGCACTGCGCCAACTGCTGCGCCACCACTCCCCCCACACGTACAGACGCACGGACACGCAGACACGCACGGACACGCATGGACACGCGCTCTCGAGGCAAGACTCCTCCTCGTGGCACCGCTCCCCTCTGCGCGACTCACCGGCTCCTCGCTGGCACACAGGGGGATGTCGTGGAAGGGAGAGATGTACTGCCCCTGCGCATCCTCTGCACACGCACACACAAAGACACCCATGTACAGCCTTTAAAAGAGTGTTGGGGCAAATGCTGTTCCCGAGTAGCACCTATGAAGGCCAGCGGAGGCACACGAGGGGGTGGGTGGCCAGCACCATGCGCGGCTGCCTGTGTCTCACTAGCGGCGATGTTTACGCACCGCACAAGGTACTCATTTGAGGCTAAGTCGACCTAGGCCGGTTCGGATAATGATCACTGATGTGGGCCACGAGCGGGAATCGAACCCGGGTCGCCGGGATTGTAGCGCAGCACGTTAACCACTGTGCACCGCTCCCACAGAGATACAATGGTACGCGCAATAGATACACACAGATATTTTTAAATAGAGGTCCCTATATTGATAAGGAAAACATTTCTTGCATTTTATCCGGTAAATATAAATATATACATTTACTGTGGTCTCAAAGTAGGGGGATGGGCACTCCCTCTCACTCCACCCCCACCTGCGCACGTCATAGGTACGCTGAACTCCACACGTACACGGGGCGTGCGTGTGTGTGGTTCAACGTTCTCCCCCCACCGCCGAGACATTGGGCCAGGCGGTAACTTCAAGAAGCGCCGGCGTGAATCCTAGCGGCGCCACATGGTGCCACGCGGCGCCACAACGCCCTGCACGGCTCGTGCGCACACACAGGCCGTGATATCAGCTGCTGCTGTTGCATGCAGACCACCCACATCACCACCACCACTACCACCACCACCAACCCCATCTCTACTACCACCACTACCAGCACCTCCACCTTTATCATCTCATAACATCACGACCACCCCTACCATTCACCTCCTGCCACCCCGTATAGCATCCACCTAATCTCGCCCGAACAATGACCCTGGGTTCATGGCCATGCCACGATCAACAGCTTTGCCCCCCTCCCATTTTCCACCCTCCCCAACGCCGACTTCCCCATCCCCTCCCGCCCTGTAATCGCACACCACTGCTTGTCTATCAGCAGCACATATGATGATGATGGTGTTGCATCATCGATCCACAAATCAATGTCGATTCCGACCGCCCGCGCGGGCGCTGGAGTTAACGCGCGCACTCCTCCAGCCACTAGAGGTCGCTACGTTCCAACACAACGATGATGACGACGACAAAAAGTCATCGATTTTTCTAATCGATTCGTGGGGAATAATTACACCCCACACGCCCCACGAGAAAATTGAACGAAATCTGAAAAATGTGCAAGAAAGCACGGCCGCCGAGTTGGATGCTTTGAATAACTCAGAGGGACGGAATGAGGAACTGATGGCTTAGAGGAGACAGGCAAAACCCCCAAATCATCATCGGAGGATGATCGTGTGGGCCCAAAGAAAACCCAGAAGTTTCAAACCACGCAGATGTGTAGAAGACACAGCCATTTGGGCATCACGCAAAAACCACCACCACAAGCCGTTCCCGAAGAACCGCATCGTCGGACTCTTGTCGTGAAAAAGTTGAGCGAATGTAACCGACTGGCGGCAGTAATCGAAAAACTGTGGTGGGCCGTTTTTTTGTCATCGTTGGGTCTCATCAGCAACAGTCCGGTCGCCGATGCTCACCGCTGCAGAGGCTGCTTCTGAGAATGATACGGGTGGAGTGCCCACTTCCACAGTGGGCACCGTTCGCTTGGCTAATGCCAACAGAAATTCAAATCTGTAAGCGACGAGAAAACCCGTCATCATAACAGAATGAAAGTAGAGGCCATAAAAACTACACATTCAAACACACATGCACAAATGTAAAATAACACTCAGCCTTTGTGTATTATGCAAAAACCATCAGCAGTTCCTGGCGAGCTGGTCATGTCACGTGGGTTACTGACATCACCCAGGTTATGAAAAGTGAGCGAGCTTGGGCAGCGTTCGTCACTGGGAACGATGGTGGCAGCCACGTCACCGAACGCGTCCGAGGGAGTGCGTCCACACAGGAGGTGGAGCAATGAAGCGGCTCGTGTGCAGGTGCTGGGACCACGAGAGCCAGCGAGGGCTCGGAGGCCTTCATCCAACAGCGGATTGATCACCGCCGACGACGGTGGCGACAACGAATCGAGGGCCTAATTTGACGAGAACCATTTCGCTTGACCGGACGTCAAAGGTCCGACCGCATCTCACAATACTGGACAGGGATGGGCGGAAAGCACCGGGGGGCCCCATCCCTCCCACGGGGACCCGGGGCAGTTGCACAGCCTGCGTACTCGATAGCTACACCCCTGCCTGGCGCCTGCACCCCTGCTCCCATCCCTCCCAGGTCCCCTCCCCCCCCACCGCCACGTCACACTCCCTCCCCCCTCCAGGCAGGGTCGTCGGTTGCGCTGAGCAAGGTACAGCTCAAGCGCCGGCAACCACAATAAGGGGCGACACTGCGCCCGCTGCACAAACACAGCCCGGCCATAATCACGCACGCACGGCCATAAACCACACGGCACACAAACACGCACGCCATTTCACAACCAACCCTGGGGGTTCACACGGGGCCATGATGGGAGGGGAGGGGTCAAAGTGAACAAATGTGGGGGTGGGGTGCAGTTCTCATTTCCTGCTTACAGTCATGGGTTAGTGGTGGAAATTCAACGTTTTCATGACGGGGGCAAGTCCATGCATAAGCTATACCATGTTTGAATGCTGACAAGCAGTATCGATTTTTTTCATTGACCACTACGAGAGAGAAAGAAAGAACTGGGATAACAGGGCCGGCTTGACCTGTACCCAACCCTGACCAGGAATGGAAACCGCACGATTGTGACTGCGAGAAGGTAACATTTGTGACCACGGTCTCCAGGCAACCAGACCGGTTTGCATCCTCAATAAAGTGCAGCCCGCGCACCGCTCCGGCTCGTTCCATGAATAGCGACGGCGTCGTGAAATATTTAACCTTTCCGCTGGCAACGTCCCCCCCCCGACTCCTCCCTCCTCCCTCTCTGTCTCTCCGTCTCAGAGACGCCGCAGCCTGGGGCAATGCGTTCCTGGGCTGACGTGGCCGCTTGCATTTCAATACCGAGCCGCCTCGCACTCCAGGGAATGTGTGAAGCAACAATGATTCACGTTGGTGGAATATTTTTCGATTTGACCGAAGCGACGCCACGGTTGTTTTTGCGCCTCTGTCCCTTTGCGTCGTGGGTGCAACTTTTGCTGTGATTTTATTTGTTTTTGCTTTCGTCACAATATGGTGATCCAGGTCACTTTTGGAGAATGACACTCCCATCCTGGCCTCGAGTGCCCACTTTGTTGAAGCAAAATCAACGCAAAACTTTCATGCGTAATAACATTTTGATATGCATAGCGTCACGGTTGTGGGGCACAGTTGTGGGGCACAGTTGTGGCGGTTGCCCATCCAGGCGATATCCGGGCTCAACCCTGACTCAGCCGCTGAGATCTGACAGGACCGGGTACATTCCGGCCGACTAGGTCACACCCAGAGAATGGATGACATTCATGGCGTCAGTAGCTTCGGCAACAAGTAAACAACAAACAACACCGACCGCTGGGCAAAACAACAACAAACAGTCGCCAATCGTCACGACGTGACAGTGACATCACCACGACGCTTGTGCCAGGCTATGTGCACTTTGAGGCCTATGTAGAGTGCGGAAAGGCTCGCTGGCAGGGAGTCACGGGCCAGACCCAGGTGTTATGGGTTACCCGACTGAGATGCCTCGCAGATGTACCAACTGCGCTCCCCACTGTCCCAATACCATTCCACTATGGTGTGAACACAAAGATAAAAATACCCCCGTGTAGCCTACGCAGGCTGCTACAGCATGTGCTGTTAGCGAGCACCTATGATGGCCGGTGTGGCGCATTAAAAAACTGGAAGAACCCAGAGAAGAATCCACACGGTCACCACACAGAGCGAGAACAAACAAACTACAAATATACAACAGGCATCGTTAGGTTCCAGGATCGAACCCGCGACCTCCTGCCTACCAGGTGAGTGAGATGACAACATCTCACGGCCACCACATGCATTGTGTAACCCAGTCCCCATCGAAAGTTAGAATTTATTGCCCACTGGGTTTTTCCTGCGCCAAAATAAACTGAATCAATCATTCACCTAGCCGCTACATGCCCAGGATCCAGATCTCACGGAAGCAAAGCTAGGTTTCATCCTGTTTACTATGTTATAAACACATGATATAAATACATGTACTCAGGTGGTTTTATTTGGTTAATAGGTCAATGACCTTCTGTACTGCTTTAGCAGCACCACCGGAGTGTTGTGGGAGAGCGATCCACACACAACCTGCGTGACGACTGGGAAGCCTGACAGTTCACTGGCGGTGACAGTCGGCATCATCAGACAATTGCTAGAATCACAAACATCTCCTGCCCACCTTGGGCCATAAATGGGTGGCGTTACGTCATCAGTGTGTACCCCCAGGCGAGCAACAAGTGGCAACGGGTGATGCCTGGAGGTTAATGCATGCGCATCAATTGTCGCATATTATTTAAGCTTACAATGCATTACAATAACTATGTTAATGTGACGTGCATATACTTACAGGGTGATACAGGTTGGTCATAAGAATAGGGTTTTTACCCTTTTTTCTGGCAACAAAACTGAAACCTTTTTAAAAGGATTCATGTCTGCATTAACCACAATAATTGCAGTCAAAATGCAAACAAAAAACATACTATGATAATATATGCATTGTCCTTGAAACTGATTGGTCCACACCAAGGGACGGATTTCTTTTGAGCCTCGACCCAATTGGTGCTCGACCAGATGACGCCAAAAGGCGTACAGCTCAAACACAATGCACTTTCAAAGTAATGAGGGCTCGGGGTGAGCATCTACATCATTAGACCTCCTTTGCCAGTACCAAAATATAATAGGGTTTTTCCCCTTTTTTTCTTATATTTTCTTTGAGCTGTGTGACGCCTTTTGGTGTCATCTGGTCGAGCACCAATTGGGTCGAGGCTCAAAAGAAAGCCGTCCCTTGGTGGGGACCAATCAGTTCCAAGGACAATGCATAAATTATCATAGTATGTTTTTTGTTTGCATTTTGACTGCAAGTATTGTGGTTAATGCAGACATGAATCCTTGTAAAAAGGTTTCAGTTTTGTTGCCAGAAAAAACGGGAAAAACCCTATTCTTATATTTTGGTACTGGCAAAGGAGGTCTAATGAGGTTGGTCATAATTAACTTAATTTTCGTAAATAGTTAATCATGCTGTAATAATGCAGCGAATAGTTTAAATCAACATGAACACTTTTCTAGGGAAGTTGCGGTGTGATACCTTCACAACGCATGTCCAAGCCACACTCAGCTGTAGGTGTTGGCTCGGTTTAAATTATTTTATTTTCCTGAATGATTTGTGTTGACGAGTCTGGTCGGTACAGGACGGTACGCTTTACCGGCCCCTGTCGCCACGCTAAACGTGTGCATACCGGCATTCTCCAGAATATTTCCTTTCCTACAGTGAATCCACAGAGGGGAAACAGCAGTGCGAGTGAGGGAGGAGTGTGAGTGTGGGGAGCGGTAGTGCTAGCGGTTAGCGCTACGCTGCGCTACCAACCCTGGGACCCGAGTTCGAATCCACCGACACGAGTGGCAACTTTCTGAACTGGTCCGAGGCCTCCTGTAGGTCGACTTAACCTCAATTCAGTACCCACCTACTCAACCTGAAATGAGTACAAACCCACTCATGTACCACTGTGCCGGCCTTAATCCCTGCATCTTCTACGCTTACATATCGATCACCGAGTGCGGATTCCAAAGGTCGAGTAGTGTGGGTCAGCTTAATCTGGTTGCCACCACAAGTTCAAGGTCCTCCTCCTCTCACTGGCGCTCTCTGCTCCACCTCCCCCAGCCGGTACCACATGCACCGAGTCGGCTCGGCTTCTACTCCCAATCGATTCACATGTCACACAGCAGGCGATGGGCAATCATTGAAAATGTCTCTTTCTTGAGGCCGGAGTTTCCAAACCTGCGCGACGATGGGGCACGGACCTCGTGAGAATTACGGGGACGGTCTGGAACAACGACTCAACCGTCGACGGATGTCTACGTTTCTGAAACGGTCACACGGGGAGAAAATATCGCCCTGCATTTCACATCATGACAGACACGCGCGTCAAATAACAGTTTTGTTGACATCCATCGGAAATGATGTACTCTGTTCATTTTACGGCCGAGTCAACCAAGGGGAAGGCCCCGATCCGATTCAGATGTCGCTCCCAACACTTTTGAACTCAGGTCGCTGGGTTTGGTAACGCAGTGTGCAATCCATTAACCACAACGCTATCACTCCCCACACACCGATGGAGTTCCTCCCACATGGCTTACATAGGCTGTTGGGCCACGTGCTCGTAGCGAGCAGCTATTACTGGTGGCACAGCACACGTGAGACCCATAGAGAAACATAGAGACTCATAGATATACAATAAAGACAAGCCGCAGCAGTGCGACTGGCCATGCGACCCACACTATGGATAACAAGCCACTGTTGAAGAAGCGCAGATGACAAAGGAGGAGGAACAGCAACTCGACACGAACTCTCTCCTGAAGCCCTCTCGTCGTGGCCGACAGATATCGACGTTGGCAATGAGCTCCTGATCGTAGTTGCCATAACAGAATGTATGAGGCTGTGTAACCGAAGGTTCAGTTATCACTGGCCCGGGACATTAGTTCGGGCTGCTGCCGAGTTCATAGGGCAGTGCGTGTTTAATCACTGCGCCACCGCTCCCCACCAAAGGCAAATTTCCCCTGTAATAGCCTTGAACAGACTGTTGAGGCAAGTGCTGTCACAGAGCACCTACAAACGCTGGCGTGGTATACAAGGGGATGGGTGGCCAGCAGCCCTCTTTGTCCTGCCACTGGCGATGTTGATATACACCGCACCAGGTACCCATTTGAGGCCGAGTCGACCTACGTGAGCGGGGGTTCGAAGCGCAGTGCGCCGACGGCTGCCTACACTGCCACTCCACAACACACTCCACAAGCGGCTACGATTTGAAATATCAAATATGGCAGGGATTATTCCTCAAAGATTTTTCACGAACGTGGCAACATTTTTAAGTAATGAGAAAAGTTGAAACATTTTTGCCTGAAGGGGAAATACATCATTGGATTGCAAGACTATTTTTATCCCAGAGTAGTTTGTCCACACATTTGCACAATCGTTTGAAGAAAGTTTATATACAAGGGGAACGACTATTTTTTAAACGTTATATATGTTTTAGGAGCCAACAAATATTCAAGCACGTATACAGCATGGAAGGAACAGGTTTCACCATCATAGGGAGTCATCAGCAAGCCATGGGCCAGATATCAAACTGCCAAAAGGGAAAACGAGTGTGGGCTCATCGGCGACTCATGCCCAGAGTGCCAAGGACAGCCCCTAGTGTTGTATCGGTACTCGCGTTAATCAGAGGTCATCAGTGAGCCATGGTCATCAGTGAGCCATGGTCAGCGAGTTCGCTCAGCTGTGCATCGAACATGACAGAAAGGCAAACTCCTTCACGCACAGATACATAGACGAGCACATTCACTCATATGTACACACCACACACACACACCTAGAACTCACAGACTCACACACCACTCAAATGGGCGCTTCAATCAATACAATATGCAATGGTGGAAGTGGGGGAATGAGTCACGGACTCAGGGAGTCGGGCACTCAGAGAGGGTCAGCGACTCAGGAAGGAAGGACTCTGGAATTCGAGGACCTGGGTAGGGAACCAGAGTGGGGGCCTGGGATGCGGGGGACTCGAGAAGGGAGTCCTGCAGGGACTCAAGGGAGTCAACAAGGTCGGTCACTCAGGAAGCGAGGAGTTGGGGGGGGGGGGGGGTACGCCTCTGGGAATCGGAGAGGGATTTAGATATTCAGGAGAGCCAGGGAGTCAGAGACTCGGAGCGACGTGGAGTAAGGCAGGAGAGTCGGGGAGAGAGGGACTCTGGGAGGGAAGTCGTGGTGTGGGAGCCATTGAGCCGGCTAGCACTCACTGTAATAGAGGCGGTACGCCAGGCTGTTGGGGTTGCCCCGCTCCTCCACGCTGTACATGGCGGCGGCCTTGAGGAGCGTTCCGAGAGAGAGAGACAGAGATCGAGAGAGACAGAGATCGAGAGAGACAGAGATCAAGAGATCGAGAGAGACAGATCGAGAGAGCTCGGACGCGCTGGAGGATGCAGCCGCTGGAACCGCACCGGAGTCCACACACACGTGGAGCGCGACTGCTGCCACGCCGCCTCCCGCTCTCACAATTCCCACAGCGGACGCGCCCCTCCCCGGCACCTCATTGGCCAGAGCCGCAGCGCGCCTTGCCTGTGACGCGAAGCGTAGCGGGCCACGCCCCCCCAACGCTTGCCAATGCCGAGTAGGAAATGTAACCGCGGTGCTGGGCATGCGCAGTGAGCGCCTCGGTGGGGAGAGGGGCAGTGGGCACAAAGTGGGGGGATGGGGCAGTGGGCACAATGTGGGGGGAGGAAGGGGGGCAGTGGGCACAATGTGGGTGGGTGGAGGGGGGCAGTGGGCACAATGTGGGGGGAGGGGGCAGTGGGCACAATGTGGGTGGGAGGAGGGGGGCAGTGGGCACAATGTGGGTGGGAGGAGGGGGGCAGTGGGCACAATGTGGGGGGAGGGGGCAGTGGGCACAATGTGGGTGGGTGGAGAGGGGCAGTGGGCACAATGTGGGGGGAGGGGGCAGATGGCACAATGTGGGGGGAGGGAGGGGGGCAGTGGGCACAATGTGGGTGGGTGGAGGGGGGCAGTGGGCACAAAGTGGGGGGAGGCGGCAGTGGGCACAATGTGGGAGGAGGGAGGGGGGCAGTGGGCACAATGTGGGGGGAGGGGGCAGTGGGCACAATGTGGGTGGGGGGGAGTGGGAGCCGCAGGGTCAGGGACATTCGCGTCAGTGACATCCGTGAAAAAGAGCTTCAAAGCTCATCGGATTCGTCCTGCAGTCTCAATGAAGATTATGATTCTGTTCGCCTTGCCCAGCCCGGACCGGTTCTGCCACTGGTCGGGCCCGGCGGTGGTCTCTCTCTCTCTCTCCTTGTAGACGACCCCTCCGCTGCCTCTTAGCACATCTTGGAATGCACCGCACACGCTCGATTTGATTTCAGAATCCGTTGTCTTTATTTAGACCGGAGGAGGAATCCAATGAGCTATGAAGCTCTTTTTCACAGACGTTCAGTAGGTGACGTGGCGGGTGTAAGGGGCGTGTCTCCGTCCGCGTCTGCAGCGCGTTTCAGTTCAGAGTATTCTGACGTCGACGATGGCGCCACTGTGTCCGAATGTTCTCCCGAATGAATGAGAGCATTGTTGCGGTTGTGTCGTTGCCGGTGCGTGACGCGCGGCGTGATGAGGCACCACCGCGCCTTCGCCCCGCAGTGCGGTGGCGTGGCCGCCTGCCCAGCAAAACGCCCCAAGGTCGGAAGACGTTGGCGCGTGGCCGAGACCATTGGACCAACGTTGAACCAACGTTGGACCAACGTCGGCCCCAACGTTCCACGTTGACCTGCGTCGCGTCTCTTCCGCCGCTGGGGAACGGCACTGGAATCGAACAGTGGGAGATCCGCAGGAATCGATCTTCCAATACTTTGTTGATAATTATTATTGAAGGCTTTGTTATCCAGTGGGTACTGCTGTAAACGTGTCACCAATTTTCATTTTATTCTCATCATGCCCCGTGGTGGCGTGCGCCACCTCGCATTACCCGCTCTATCACTCCGGCCTCTCTATTCATTTGAAATGAAGGACCATTGCCTGAACCGTCGCCTGTCATACATGGTTTTTCCTTTTAAGGCAACAGTGTTCTTTGTGAGTGTGTTGATTTTGTTTGTGTGAGACCCGCTCAGTGCGTTGTTGTGTTGAGCCACAGTGGTTGCTAAGGGTTGAGCTTCATAAAAATAGAACCTAGAGCTTAGCGTTTCTCGGTGGAGCTGTCTCGCTCTCGAATGCGTTTCTGGCTGTACCCAATATTGTTCGGCATTATGTTCGACGTTTCGCTTCACGTGCCGGGAGCTACTTCAGGAACTAAAAACACAACGGCAAGCTCAAATAACCTTCAGTTGTTATGCCCCCATATTCGTTGGGTATTTTGGTAAAGTCACGTAGTTATGTTCAAAGAAAATATCTAAATGTTTTTCATTCGTCAACAACACTGCTTTAAAGAAACATATAATCGGTGACGTTTCGGGCAATAGCCCTTCATACCACATCAATTAACCTGCATCTCCATTCTGCCAGCTCTGTCGTCATTTAAACTGACTCGTTTAAAATCACTCAAGTTTAAGTGTGAATGTAAGTTTACAACATAATTGTTCTCATGTTTATTTGTTTTAATCTCTAATTGTGGAATGATTTGATGTTGTCTGCCGGCAGAGTCGCCCTTGACGAAAGAGCTTCACAGCAAATGTCTGACTTCTGATTCTTCTCTCGCACCTCCGGTTAGCACGGTTGGCTACGTACGGTGCGAAAGAAGTTCAACATACATACATTCTGAAAGCAAAACTAAGGGAATAAAATCATCAGTCAGATTCTATCCACTACTGAATAGGTCTCCCCAAATCGCCACCATCTATCGCGATAGCTGTTACATTCAATTACACCAGCCATTCCAAAGTCAAACTACAGCATTTGTATTATTTATTTATTTGTAGTGACTGGCTTATTTTACTCTACTTTGCACACACACACACATCGTGTTGTTGTGCTGTTTGTTGCTGTAACTTGCTGATCCGCCCCGACTGGACATCTGTGAAAAAAACAGCTTCATAGCTCATCGGATTCCTTCTGCAGTTCTCACTAAAGATAACCGGTTCCCGATAGAGATAACCGGTTCTCTCTATATAGAGATAACCGGTTCTCTCTCAATAGAGATAACCGGTTCTCACCGCGGGGTCGTTTCTCATTTCCACGCCGCGCCCGCGCGAAGGGAACTCCGCCGATGTCGTCACCTTCGTTCCGGGGGTTTCCCCATCCAGATCGCGACTTGATTGGCTTAGACCGCCGGGCCGCTCGACCAATCAGAGAGGGCGGAGCTGAGGTTCTTGATCGCCGAACGCGGGCCGCGTTGGAAAGGGGTCTCCGAGAAACTGGGATTGTGGTATGGGCCTCCCGACCACCCCTCCCACCCCTTTTGGAGGGGACTCACATTCACGGCGGGGGACTTGAGGGGAGGGGGTACACATGGAGACCGCGGGACTCGAAAGTCGCCCCTCCGTGATGCTGTGCCGCAATATTCGGACACATGCTGGGCCTAGTCGGCGATGGAGCCTGCCGCGTTGTCTGCTTGGCCCGCCGGGTTCGCCACACTCTAGCCGGTCGAGAGAGGCGGCCGCGCCCAGGAATGTGAAAGCGGTGGTGAGGGAGATGGGGGCAGTTCTTGTCGGTTTGGGCCGATTGCGGGGTTGAGGTCTGTAGTAGGAGGCGACCAAGGTCCCCGCAGAGACGTTCCATTGGCCATAGGTTAAGCAGGATTGACCCTGGCTAGCGCTTAGATAGGCGACAGCCGTGCATACAAGGCGGGGGTGTGTAGGCTGCGGGACTAAGTTGCGAGCAGCATATTTGCAGTGCAGAAACATGCCCGATGGCACTGTACGTGTATGTTCCATCGTGTGTGCGACACCCCGGCCTCGCCAGCTCCTCGCACAGCGTGGCGGGGACCGCGTGAACAACAGCTACGAGCAGCTCGCGTGGGAAGCGCTTACACCCCCCCCCCCCCCCCCCCAGTGTACAGGGTTTACAAAAGGGCTGTACTGTATTTAAAAATACATTTCTATTGTTTCACACAAACATCCGCTTGAACTGATGCTTTCCAGCAGGTTTATTTTTGTAGTTGTACATCAAGTTGGGCCGGTTTCGACTTATCTGTATCACCTGGAATTGGCAGTGTAGCACACTTTACGATGGGGTCAAATACACTTTTTTTACGAGCATTATTGCCGATAATATAGTTTTCAGCAGTGGACTGACGACATTCTCGACATGTATCAAGGTAGAGAGGTAAGTAACTACAGGATGTTGAACTTAAATCGCACCGTAAGTAGCCAACCGTGCTAATCGCAATTGGTAAAGACGCGGCCCTGCTGGCGGACAGGGCCCTTCTCGAGGGTGTTTTAGCCTATTCCACGCAGGTCACACGTCTCGAAAGAGATGCGAATACCCACGCTTTACCCCACCACACGCGACCTTCCCAGCGACAAACTGTGGTGGGTCCATTTATACTGCTGGGTGGCCCGATTTGGAACGACTTAATTAACTTGCTCATTGTTTCAACTGCCGCCCCGGGAGATCAAAACGGCGACCTCTGGATTGCAAATCGAGTGTATGGACCATGAGACAAAGTCAGCATTGGAGGTACTAACAGGAAATATCTGTTCCTGCCACCAGAGGGAGCCCGTGCCCTATAGGAGCCGCCTCTACAGAGCGGCGGAGCGATGTCGGGGCCGACGGGATCGGGCGCTGGGGATGGGGCAAAGCCCCCTGCGCCCTCAGCCTCTCCCATGCTGCCCGGCAGGAAGGGCCCCCAGATCGCGGGTGCCCCAACTCCGGGCCGCCTCCCGTCCATCCGCTCTCGAGACCTCACCCTGGGCGGCGTGAAAAAGGTGCCCGGTCCACGCGGCTTCCTTCACACGCGCTGCACCACGTGACTCGCATTGCCGCGTGGCGTGCGTGCGTGTGCGGCCATTAGAGGGCACTGTCCGCTCCTTGGTGAGATCGATCGCGGTTGAGAAGTGCTGGAGGAGTGTTGTGGCAAGCGATTTGGGAGCGGAGCACACGAGTTCTAACCCTAACCAGCCACCATGGCTAGGCTTACTCATAAACCCGACCAACAAGCTACTGGAGCTATTGTTAATCTTTTCTGAACCAATTAATACAACCAATTACTAGCACCAGACCGATTCTTAGCCCGAACCAAGTAGCCAACCGGCCACGAGTCCCAGCCCTAACCCATCTCTATTCCGCAGCAGGACTTTGACAAGAGCCCCTTCTCACATTGCGTGCTGTTTACGGTGTTGGTGTTCCCAGTCCTACCAGCCTCGCGTAAATGGTGTAACGGGTCACTAATGAAGGGCAGAGGTCACAGAGCTGTGCACGAGGTCAGGGTCGTGATTTTCCAATGCCTCCGCCTCCCCACAGCGAACAAACAGGAACCCACCACAACTCCGTCTCGCAATTCCGGGTTTACTACATAATTAGTCTTAAGAAATTCCAACAAAAAATTGTTCTCATTTACCGCCTCTTTTTGATGTATTACCAAATTTTATTATGATACGATATCTATATATTTTTTCCTGTGTTCATAAACATTGACTCTGGAATGCAGACATCCACCTGCCCACACACCCGTTGTGTGTAGGTTGATGTCGAAGCATTCGTGCTCACGCGGGGAGGTTCACGTCCCTCAAATACATGCAGCACCACCGCACAGCTGCGTAAGGCGATTACTCTAATGGGATTTGCGTGCAAGCCCGGGGGCTGCGCGACCTGGATTTGCATCGATCGTCGCCTTTGGGCACTGTAAATAACTCTGCGGGTTCTTGGCGGCGGAGGTTGTCTGGGAGGGCGGCTGGGTTTGATGTCGCGTCCCACAAAACACTCTGCCACCCCCTCCCTTCCGTTGCTTTTCCCTTCACAGAAAACGTTCGCGCCGAACATCCCGGTCCGAAAAGTGAATGAAAGGTGAGAGTTGCTTCTTCCTGTCACTTGCAGGCCAGTGCTGCATTCAGCTTGTGGCGCACAGGGACAGCTGCCACGGGAGGGGGGGTCCCCCTGTCACAGTATAAATAGTCGGTGATAATGCTGCTGCTGTTGCCGCTGCACTGAGCGCGTGGACTCAGCCCTTGGTAAACTCCCTCTTGGGAGTCGCATTGCTCCGGGTTTAACCCTGGCAATCCGGGAATCAGCTGCTGTGACTTGGATGCAAAAACAAAGTAATCGGGCAACTCACCATTCGCTTTTGAGCCCTTGGACCAATGTCACTGGCTTGTTCCGATGCTCTACCCCCCACCACCCTCCCCCCCACCTCCCCCTACGCACCCCCCAGCTAAATCTGTATTAGTTTGGCAAAATGGAAAGGTACCGCTCCAACTCTACTGGCTTCGCCTTGCTTTTTAAGGCCACGGTGTTATTGACGATGGCGGCGGCAGCGGCGGCGTGTGTAGCAGCGTGTGAGTTGTTTGTGAGTTTTGCGTGAGTGTAAACTGTGCATGAGAATGTGTGAAAATGTGAGTGAGAATGAGCTGTGTGTGAGTGAGCCGTGTGTGTGGGTGAGCCGTGTGAGCCGTGTGAGAGTGGCCGTAACGAGAGGGACTTCTGTGTTCGTGTGTGTGATGGTGTGGTGATGTGCACTCTGTGTGTGTGATGGTGTGGTGATGTGTGCTCGTGTGTGTAGTTGGCGCAGCCTGAGTGAGGCCTGGTTGGTCGCGCGCGTCGCGCAGCCTGAGTGAGGCCTGGTTGATCGTGCACCTGGTGCGGCCTGGGTGCGGCCTGGTTGGTCCTGCACATGACACTGCCTGAGTGAGGCCTAGCTGATCATGCCCCTGGCGCAGCCTGAGTGAGGCCTAGCTAGATCGTGCGCCTGGCGCAGCCTGAGTGAGGCCTAGCTAATAGTGCACCTGGAGCAGCGTGAGTGAGGCCTAGTTAATCATGCACCTGGCGCAGCCTGAGTGAGGCCTAGGTAATACTGCACATGACAGCCTGAGTGAGGCCGAGTAAATAGTGCACCTGGCTTAGCCTGAGTGAGGCCTAGTTAATAGTGCACGTGGCACAGCCTGAGTGAGACCTAGGTAGTACTGCACATGACACAGCCTGAGTGAGGCCGATTAAATCGTGCACCTGGCGCAGCCTGAGTGAGGCCTGGCTAATCGTGCACCTGGCGCAACCTGAGTGAGGCCTAGTTAATCGTGCATGTGGCGCAGCCTGAGTGAGGCCTAGTTAATCGTGCATGTGGCGCAGCCTGAGTGAGGCCTTGTTAATCGTGCATGACGCACGGCCTGAGTGAGGCCTAGGTAGTACTGCACATGACAGACTGAGTGAGGCCGAGTAAATCGTGCACCTGGCGCAGCCTGAGTGAGGCCTGGCTAATCGTACACCTGGCGCAGCCTGAGTGAGGCCTAGTTAATCATGCACGTGGCACAGTCTGAGTGAGGCCTAGCTGATCGTGCACCTGGCGCAGCCTGAGTAAAGCCTAGTTAATCATACACGTGGCGCAGCCTGAGGCCTAGTTAATCGCGCACATGGCGCAGCCTGAGTGAGGCCTAGTAAATTGTGCACGTGACACTGCCTGAGTGAGGCCCAGCTAATCGTGCACCTGGCGCAGCCTGAGTGAGGCCTAGTAAATCATGCACAAGGCGCAGCCTGAGTGAGGCTAAGTTGGTCATACACGTGGCGTGGCCTGAGTGAGGCCTGGTTGTGCACATGACACTGCCTGGTTGAGGCCTGGCGGATCGTGCACTTGGCGCAGCCTGAGAGAGGCCTGGTTAATCATGCACAAGGCGCAGCCTGAGTGAGGCCTGGTTGACAGTGCACCTGGCGCAGCCTGAGTGAGGCCTACTAAATCGTGTACCTTGCGTAGCCTGAGTGAGGCCAGGTTGATCGCGCCCATGGCGCAGCCTGAGTGAGGCCTAGTTAATAGTGCGACAGACCACAAGCTGTGTTCCTGCCAAGGCGGCATTGCCACGGACCCAAAGCAGTGTTCCTGCCAAGGCAACATTGCCACGGACTCCAAGCCGTGTTCCTGCTAAGGCAACATTGCCGTGGACCCCAAACTGTGTTCCTGCCAAGGCAACATTGCCATGGACTCCAAGCTGTGTTCCTGCCAAGGCAACATTGCCACGGACTCCAAGCTGTGTTCCTGCCAAGGCAACATTGCCACCGACCCCAAGCTGTGTTCCTGCCAAGGCAACATTGCCACGGACCCCAAGCTGTGTTCCTGGAAAACTTCAAGACGGCCAAGCGTCGTGAATGAAGAGTCTCCTGTGTGGGCTTCAGTGGGGCCGTCTGGTCGGGCAGCAGAGACACGAGAGGCCAAGAAACGACATTCCAGTCGTGGGCTGAGCTCAAGGAGGGCTAGCTCGAGCACCATCCTGCGGGCGGGAAAGGAGGTGGTGCAAGCGGTTCAGCCAAGCCCACAACAGCCAAAAATCTGCTGTCCGCGTCTGGGGGGGGGGCGCTGTTCAACCCTAGCACATGGGCGAGAAGCCGTGCATGTGTGACGAGTGCGGCAAGACATTTTCTCGTGCTCGGCCTACAAGTATATATTTTTTTTCTTTTCCACTTGTGTGTTAATCTGTGTTTACCCCGGATATTTTAGAGATGGCAATTCTCCTGCTGTGTATCCTACTGCTGTCCCTCCCGGCCATATCTCGTGCCACACTCAACTCTACAAACAGCTACCCTCGTTACTTTGCGTCCATACTTGTTGCTCGATTTGCCACTACACCTGCTAATGAAACAGCTCATAGCCACTTCTACACTCCATCATTGTATCCTTTTAAACCCTATCTTTGTCCCATTACTTCACCAGCACTCCTTCCAAACTTCATTCTGCTCTTAAAAATAACACCATCTGCGAGCTACTGCTATTCGTCCAAGGTTCGCCGCTCTTCATCCTTTCACAGAAAATACTTGTGCAAACTATTAATTCTACTTTCCTTATTTCTGGGTGGTATTGAGCTTCATCCTGGCCCAAATGAAAAGAACTCATATAATTACGTAGATTTTTCTGGCAGGATAGGTGTTGGTGTTCTACATGTCAACATCAGAGGGCTTGTGATTAAATTAAGTAAACTAAAACTAAAAGTGGCAAATATTGACCCGGACATTTTTTGCCTAACAGAAACATTTCTCACACCTGCCGTCAATGACTTGCAGATTGCGATTGACAACTACAACCTTTTTTGGCTTGACCGAAGATCTTCAGGAGGTGGAATTGCCATCTATGTTCGTAATACTATTGCATGTTCACTAGCTCACTCCTTGTTTAAAAAATGTTGCTTTGAAGGTCTGGCTCTCAGAATAACTCTCCCAAATAATCAACAGATATTGGTAGTGTGCTGCTATCGACCACCTAGTGCAGGGGTCGGGAACCTATGGCTCGCGAGCCAGATGTGGCTCTTTTGATGATTGCATATGGCTCGCAGATAAAACAAAATATTCTCACTTGTTTTAATCCATCCATCGATTTTTCACTGCGCATGTCCTGTTCAGGGCTGCAGGAGCAATTGTCCATTATTTTAATTGGATGATACTGGCCTACGTTTGCCGTTGCTGGGTAAAACAGGTAAACGCCCCCTTTTGAATCAGTCTGAGACTGCGTCTGCTCGGTCATTAGCTCAAAGCTAACCCTTCGACGAAGAAGATGGCGAAAAGAAAAAAAGACGACGAGTATCGTACATTTCAGGACGAATGGACCGAAGAATTTGCCTTTGTGGAGAGAGCGGGTTCTGCGGTGTGTCTAATTTGCAATGACAAAATTACATAGTTGAAACGGTCGAATGTAAAGCGGCACTTCGACACGCGCCACGCTACCTTTGCATCAAAATACCCTGCGGGAGACAGCAGAAAGAAAGCGTGCCAAGAGCTTCTGAGCAGGGTGCAAGCTAGCCAGCAGCAACTCCGCGTATGGACCCGGCAAGGTGACTATAATTCGGCTAGCTTTGCTGGTTCTTTAGCAATAGTGAGGAACGGAAAACCATTCACAGATGGCGAGTATGCTAAAACGTTCATGCTGGATGTAGCCAATGAACTTTTTGATGATCTTCCGAACAAAGACAAGATAATCAAACGGATACAAGACATGCCTCTGTCGGCAAGAACTGTTCATGATCGTACCATCGTGATGGCAAACAAAGTGGAGGAAACGCAAGTGAAGGACATAAATGCAGCGCCGTTCTTTTCTCTGGCTTTGGATGAGTCAACAGACGTGAGCCATTTGTCGCAGTTCAGCGTGATTGCAAGATATGCTGTTGGTGACACACTGTGCGAAGAAAGTCTTGCTGTTCTGCCATTAAAAGGGTCCACAAGAGGTGAGGATTTATTCAAGTCTTTCATGGAGTTTGCTCAAGAAAAAAGTCTACCTATGGATAAACTTCTCTCAGTGTGTACTGATGGTGCTCCGTGTATGGTGGGGAAAAACAAAGGATTTGTGGCGCTTCTCCGTGAACATGAAAATAGACCCATCCTAAGTTTCCATTGCATTATACACCAGGAGGCACTTTGTGCTCAGATGTGTGACAGGAAGTTTGGCGAAGTGATGTCGCTGGTCATTCGTGTGATCAACTTTATTGTTGCCCGAGCCTTAAATGATCGCCAGTTTAAAACACTGCTGGATGAAGTTGTAAATAACTATCCTGGTCTGCTTTTGCACAGCAATGTGCGTTGGTTGTCAAGAGGGAAGGTGCTTAGCCGTTTTGCGGCTTGCCTGAACGAAATCCGGACTTTCCTTGAAATGAAAGGCGTCGGGCATCCTGAGCTAGCCGACACCGAGTGGCTCCTCAAGTTTTACTATCTCGTAGATCTGACTGAACATCTGAACCAGCTCAACGTGAAAATGCAAAGCATTGGAAATACAGTGTTATCCCTTCAACAAGCTGTATTTGCTTTTGAAAACAAGCTGGAGCTTTTCATCACGGATCTTGAAACAGGTCGTTTACTACATTTTGAAAAACTGAGCCAATTTAAAGATGCATGCACAGCAAGTGAGCCCATTCAAAACCTTGATCTCCACCAGCTAGCTGGCTGCACATCCAGTCTCCTACAGTCCTTCAAAGCACGCTTTGGAGAATTTCGTGAGCACACTCGTCTTTTTAAGTTCATCACCCATCCAAACGAGTGTTCACTGAACACAGCCGACCTGAATTACATCCCTGGTGTCTCCGTCAGAGATTTTGAAGCAGAAGTGGCTGACCTGAAGGCCTCAGACATGTGGGTGAATAAGTTCAAGTCACTGAATGAAGATTTGGAAAGAATCACACGACAGAAAGCGGAGTTGGCGAGCAAGCACATGTGGACAGAAATGAAAAAACTCCAACCCGAAGACCAGCTGATTCTCAAAACTTGGAACGCGCTTCCTGTCACATACCACACACTGCAGCGTGTGAGTATTGCTGTATTGACCATGTTTGGATCTACGTATGCATGTGAGCAGTCATTCTCACATCTTAAAAACATCAAGTCCAACCTACGATCACGTTTAACGGATGAAAGCCTCAACGCTTGCATGAAGCTTAACCTCACCAAGTACCAACCCGACTACAAAGACATCAGCAAATCCATGCAGCACCAGAAGTCGCATTAATGGTGAGTGTTATAACAACATTATTTAAAAGAATAAATTCAGAGGCTTATTATACTGACATTTAGTTGAATTCACTTTTAAAATATATTATATGGCTCTCACTGAAATAAATTTCCAAATTTTTTGCTTTCATGGCTCTCTTAGTCAAAAAGGTTCCCGACCCCTGACCTAGTGGGAAGGATGTTGAAGCTGCTTCTGCACTGAGAGAGCTTTTTGGGGGCCTCCCTAAAGGTGAAATAGTTTTAGTGGGTGATCTGAATTGGAATTGGCTAAACCCGCCGGCCGTGGCCACACATTTTGCAGATGAATTTAATCTGTTTCAATTAATAAATGTCCCCACGAGACCCAACCTAAAAAATCTGGGACAGTCATCTCTGCTTGATGTCCTATTGGCAAATGCCCCTCACAATTTCACACTGACTGGTGTTCTGGGTGAGATCAGCAGCCAGACCCAAAGCCTCCCCTGAATTGGTTGTGAAGCACTCTGAGACACTTCAGCACTCAGGCATTTAGTAATGATGCGCTTCACTCGGATATTGACAAGGTCTGTGATATCCCCAACCTGACTACGGCTTGGGAGACCTTCAGGTACACGTTTCTCCAAATTCTTAACAAACATGCTCCGTTGGTTAGATTTAAAACTAAAGGCAACCGCCCACCATGGTTTGCTCATTAAAACTAGGGACAAGGCTTGGGCATGTGCTCAGAAAAGTAATTTGGTCAATGACTGGCTAGAATACAGGATTTTAAGGAATAAATGCATCAAAAAAATACGGCATGCAAAAAATGCCTACTTTTCCTCCACCCTCCTGGAATCACATGGAAATGCCAGGATTTTCTGGAAAACAAATGTATTGAAAAGGCATCCAAAACAGACACTCTGCCCGTTGAGCTTAACCGAAATGGGGAATATTTTTCAGATCCCCCAAAAAAGTTGACAATTTTAACCTTAATTTTTCTGAAGCTGGTAATCTTTTCGATAATGTATTGGGAGTCACCCCTGCTCATGCAAATTCCTACACCCCTGTTCAAACATTAAACGAATTTAGTTTCCAGCCAATCCACAAAAGTAATGTTCTGAAACAACTGTCCTACCTCAAAGGGTCCTCCTCTACCGGAGCAGATAGTATTCCCGTCTTTGGTCTACTAACTGTTGGTCACCTAATATACAAACCTATAGCCCATATTTTCAACCTGTCCATCAAAGAAGCATGAGTTCCTCTAGAATGGAAACATTCCTATGTCCGTCCACTTCACAAAGGGGGCCCTAAAGATGATCCAAATAACTACCGACCTATCTCAATTTTGTCCCCGTTGATGAAAATTTTTGAAAAATTATTGACCTACCAAATTAGCAGTTTCCTGTCCACCAACAATCTACATCTAAAACAATCTGGGTTCCGAAAAATATACAGCACCACATCTGCTGCATTAGACTCTCTGAATCACATTTACAGTAGCTTTGATAATAAGCTATACTGTTCCTGTCTTTTTCTAGACCTGTCCAAAGCTTTTGATACAGTAGACCACAACACCCTGCTTAGTAAACTAATTTGCCTCGGTTTTTCTGAAAACGCAGTAAAATGTTTATAAAATTACCTCTTTTCTCGCACCCAAACTTTATTCACAGATGGTTGGAGGTCATACAGTGTTAAGATAACAAAAGGGGTTCCACAGGGTTCCATCCTCGGCCCCCTTTTGTTCTCTCTTTATGTCAATGATTTGGGCACTTACCTGGATCATTCCAGGGTAAATTTTTTTGCAGATGACACGATACTAATTACTGCTGGCCGCTCTCCGGATGATGTGATTACTCAGCTACAGGGTGACTTCAACAAACTACAACATCAGCTAGGTGCTCTTAAATAGTCCTGAATACCTCCAAAACCAAGGTGCTATGCTTCTCACCAGGACTAAAGCAGGAAGTTATTTTTCCCCAATTACATTCCTTAAATAATTATCAAATAGAGCAAGTCAAGATTTATAAGTATCTTGGGGTCATCCTGGATTCAAAACTGAATTTTGAAGATCATATTGATTATATTGGTAAAAAGACAAAAATAGAAATTGTTTTTTCTGTATCGACACAAGCACTGCTGCTTCCCTCCATTGTTCCGTTTGGAATTGATAAAAGCTACCATACTGCCTCTACTTGACTACTGTGACATCGTGTATAAATCAGCCCCAAGTACTGCACTGAAGAAGCTTGATTCCATCTATAACTCGGCCTTAAGATTTACATTGAACTGCCCATATAGGACTCACCACTATGATCTCTACATTGGGTCAAACTTAACATATCTTAATGTTCGACGGCTTGTGCACCAGATCTTACTTATTCACGTTGTACTTACAAAAAAATCCGCAGACTACCTGCTGGATCTCCTCTCTGTTTCAAAGAACAAATTTGACCTCAGGTCTTTGCTCATTTACCAGCCTCACATTCCCTATTGCCGTACAAAAACTGGAGGAAGGGCCTTTGCTATTGATGCCACTGCTATTCATTGGCGTAAAATAAAATAAAATGTTTTGCTCCGGATGATGCTGCAAAGTATCTGTATTTTGATTTAGCATGCTGATCTTAAAGGTGCATTGAAAAATTTGATACTCCGACTGATGCTTCTGTTGTTGTGGAGAAACTCATGCAGCCAGCTATGGCTCTAGGATTTGGTGTTACGTGTTATTTACGTAGTTTATTGTAAAAATTCGGTCACAGTCCCTATGATCACTGTTACCTTGCAATTATGGCTTTATTCTTTGGTGATTTTCGAAAAGTTTTTTGGTTTGGACATGTTTGTTTTGTTGTAGTACGGAGTTAGATTGATGGCCTTAATCTAAGTTTTCTTGTGGTTGTTGTTGTTTGACTTGCATCCCACTGGGATTTTTTGCACACAGCGTTGGTGTACTGTGCTTTTTTCAGGAATATTTTGCTGTTTTTTCATGGATTTTCTGTTTGCACAGTCACATAGTCACTTTAAGATGTTTTCTTGTTCGTGTTTTTTTGTTTGTTGTGGTTGCACCCGATTCAAGAGCCGAATGGCTCACAGGGCTATACCAAAATAAATAAAAACTCGCTGCAACCGAGCCTGGCAAACTGCAATCCACAATTACGACAGGTCCTAACAAATCTCTCGCAGAATGGTACATCCCATTGTGTTAGAAGTCTCACATTTGGATTTTAGCCAAATTAAACAGAAAACTAAATTTAAGTAATTCGAGTCCAGATTGAGACCATGAACTCACCCTTCCTAAAAACCCAATTTAATCACCGGATGCTGCCTGGATTCAAATCAAGGATCGCAGAGGGTGCCATCTCAGTGCTCAGACCTTTGAGCCACCAGGGCTCTCGATGGCAACCTCTTAAAAGGTCACGACGATCTTGACCAGTGATCCCAGAAGTATCGCGGGGACCGTGCCATGCGCTGATCCCGTGCCATTCCCGTTTGTCACCCTGTCCCAGACCCAGGGAGGAGGGCGGCCCGTCGCCCGGACGTGGCGCCAAGCCGAGGGGTCGCGAGCGAGGCGGCCCCCGTGACGGCCGGGGTCGGGGTCGAGGTCGCGGCGAGGTCATCCAGTCTCACTCAATTTTCGAGCAGGGTCCGGCTGATGGACTGCGGCGCAAGACGGGCGGTGAGCGCGTAGCACGGCTTTTGGAACTTAAGCGCCGGAGTACGGACGAATTCGTGCCTCTCGCCACGATCAACCACAGTGTGCATGGCCACCCGAGTTCGATTCTCGCTCACGGCCACCGATGCCAGTAACGATTACCTGAACCGGTCCTGGGCCTTCCCGATATTGACTCAGCCTCAAATGAGTACAGTGTGTGTGTGTAAACATTACCACTGGGAAGACAAAGGCGGCTGGGTGTGATGCTGGCCACCCACCCCCTGTATCGTGTACCCCAACAGTCTTATTAAGGCTGTACGGGGGACGGGTCTTTGTCTGCGTGTGGCGAGCAGGCTGGGAGGCTGCGCCCAATCCCGCCCAGACTGGCCTCACCCCCATCATCAACATCAAGAAGGAGAAGTGCGAGACGGAGGAGGAGACCAAGAAGTTGCTCAACATGCTGGAGCGAGACGATGTGAGCACAAGACACGCACACACACGCACGCACCGCAAATAGAGCAATCCCCCCGGAGAGCCTTGAACAAGCCGAAGTGCTGTGAGTGAGTACCTATTCAGGCCACCACGACACTCGAGAGGATGGTGTGGGCAGAACCACACCCGGCCGACGTTGTTTCCCCAGTGGCGATGTTTAACGCATCGCACCCGGTACTCCTGTAAAGCTGAGTCAACCGAGGGGAGGCACAGGACCCTCATCCAGCAGTGGATTTACAAAAGTGCTGTACACACAAGTGTACACACATTTGTTGTGCTAACCAAAAGGAAGCACTCGAACGTACAATTGGCATGAATAATGAACAACCTTTTTATTACATCTACAATGAAATTCGTGCATCGTGAGAGCCAGAGTCGATTCTTATTAAATAACTCGACTCGATTAATCGTTACACACTCAACACGTGTCTGGGCCAACTGCGTAACAGCCAAGCATCCACCACCCCATCCAGCCCCCCCCCCGCCCCCTCTAAACGACGATTCCAACCTGTGCGAGTCAGTTCGTCGATGACCCGGGGCTCGTCAACGACCCCGGGAACCTGCCCATCCAGCTGCCACTGTCCCACTCCGGAGACACGTTCCGCGACGAACCCTCCTGCAAGACCAAGGTGGAGAAGATGGAGGTGGACCCGCCGCAGGCCGTCAAAGGTAACCACGGCGACGGAGCTCAGGCATGACGCCTTCATCAACCATTGGGCAAAACCATCCACAGCGGTATCGCCCCCCACCCTCTCTACTGGCAGTCAGGGCGGTTCTGCGTATAGCTCGGACTGCACAGGGACAGCTGCCACCAGGGTGGGGCATCCTTGGTTAGACTTGAGCAGGGCATTGAAGTCATCGATATGAAAAGTGTCACGATGCAAGGTGCTTTAAGTTGCCGACGTTTGACGGTGCCCCATTAAGTGCAAATTCGTATCCTTACGCTCTTATCAGACCCATTAGAGTCGGAATCACATTTTTTTTTTATACTGGAGGAATCCGATAAGCTGTGAAGCTATTTTTCACAGATGTGCAGGAGGGGCATGGGATCAGCAAATTACAACAATAAAGTCAGGGATACATTTTAGACATCTGTCTGGGTCTGCGACCCGGTAAAGATTTCCACACCTGGCACACCACATCCAGTATACTCAATGGCTGTGGTGGCTAACAATCTATCGACGAACCAGGAAATATGTCTGTGCCGGGCACACACCACATCCAGTATACCTCTCGTTATGGGTTGTGGCAACTGGTCATGTGCTATTGAGTCAAACTACTAGTGACCCGGAAAATAAACTGGATTGCTTGGTTTATCAGTTGGCCTCTGAATTGTCCATTGTTCTATTCCCAATTAATCTTCATGAACAATTCCTGATGATGATAATGACGATAGTGGTGGCGAGTCATTTGACGTCTATTCAGCATGGGCCCATTCATCTTCCCCGCAGTCAAACAGGAGCCCGGCACAGAGGTGAAGGATGAGGAGGGACGACCGGTGCTCGCTCCTCCGCCCCATCTCTCCTCATCCGCGCCGATGACGGTGAGCCAGCTGCTGCGCCAGCTTCGCCTGCAGGAGGAGGAGGAGGAGGGCCGCGGGCCCGGCGGTGGCGATGCCGCCGCCGACTCGGGGCTGCTGTTCCTGCAGCTGCCCGACACGCTGCCGGGACAGCCGGCGTCCCGCGGGGCGGGCGACGTGGCCGGAGCCGACGAGCGACCCATCAAGCGGGAGATCAAGACGGAGGACGGCCAGACGATGCTGCTCAAGCAGGAGAAGGCCGAGGTGAGGGCGCTAACCGACGAAGCGGGGATCCGGATCAATGTGCAATTGCGTTTGAAGAACACCGCCGTTTTCACAGCGGTGTTCTTCATTGCAAAGCCCGCGGGCCACTCATGGTGGCGGTGCCTGGTGGCCTTTCGTGTGGCCTCTGACGTGCGGCCCCCGACAATACACAAATATGAAAAGACCCCCATCATGCTGTCAAACCCAATGGTTTCAAATGTGTGGCGGCCCTCAAACTGAAGTCTTATCAGCAAAAGTGGCCCCCCTCTCTGGAAATTTGTAAAAAACACTGGTTTACATGTTGATACAGTGGTTACCTTATATATTTTATTGTTTCTGTAACTAATATCTGTGATTGCACCGTGATTAGTCTATATGGGTAATCTGCCCGAGCCTGACTTTATGCTGCACGGAGTTTATTGCTTGCCATTGATATGTGTCTGTGCAGTTGTTTTGTGCCGATTTCTCTTTGCTTCGTTGCTGTACTTTATTTTGCTTGTTTTGCTTTTGTCATTTTGCTGACAACCCAGATCTCTGTTGCGAATGAGACTGGTCATCGTCCCTTGAGTTATCGCCTGGTTAAACAAAATCAACTTGGCACCAGTGGCCGTTTTATGTACTTAAAAACAAGACAAACTGTGCGTGCGCATGGATAATATTATACGACATCGTGCAACGTGCGATTGTCTTCGGAAGTATTTAGTACGCAGTGCGGAGGGTGAATCACGCGGACGCACGCGCACCTCACCTGGACGCCGGGTCCCACATCCTCTCCCGTTGCTCGCGGCAATGTGGTGCGTGCGTGCATGTGTGTGCGTGCATCCTCAGGAGGCCGGCGGAGAGGGCGATGGTGCCTGCACACTTCGGGACCTCTCCGAGGGCCAGGTGGGGCGGCTGATTGTGCGCGCCTCTGGGAAGGTGCAACTGGTGCTGGGCACCGTCAAACTTGATGTCGGCATGGGAACCAACTGCTCTTTCTTGCAGGTATACGCAGGCACCAGGAGGGAGGGTGTCAGGCAGGCACCGGGAGACACCGGGAGTGCACTGGGAGAGCACCGGGAGGGAGGGCACTGGGAGGGAGAGCGGGAGGGCGGCGCCTTACGCAGTGCCAGTTTGAGGCTACAAAATCCATGCCGGGTTTTTGGTCTCTAGACAACGCGTGCAACTGGTGGATACAACGAGCGACGGGAACGCACCGGCATAGGCGTCATTGTTCGTGCTTTCTCACACAAAGACCCCCACTGGCTCACATGGAGAGCCGTAGGCTTACACAGAGACCCATACTCACAAAGAAACCCATATATTCACACACCCCCTGACTCGCATAGAGTCCCATATGTTCACATAGAGGCCCACATACACCCATATGAAATAAAGTCACTCGCCATAGGTTTCATAGCTTTGCCTTAGCGCTTCCCATACAGAGCCGAGCGGAACTTTGACTCGGTCAAACCTTGCCAACCTCCGAACCTAATGACCTCATCCACCCCCTCGCAGGAGCTGGTGTCGGTGCGCCTGCAGGAGGGGCGCACGGGCGACGCGACGGTGCTGGGCCACGTGTGCCACCGTCTCATCTGCACACCCAACTTCGAGAGCCTCCTTCACGGCCACAGCAGGGTTGGGACCTGACCTGGCCAGGGAGTTGGGACCTGACCTGGCCAGGGGGTTGGGACCTGACCTGGCCAGGGGGTTGGGACCTGATCCTACTGACGGGTTGGGACATTGGGGCCTGGCCTGCTGGTCGGTTCGGGCTGAGCCTGCAGGGTTTCTCACCATTGTCCACAGTTCCACCAATCTGCTCCTTTCGACTACGCTGGGCACTCCCCATGACGAGGACCCATGTGTGTGTGCGCGTGTTTGTACAAAAGCAGATGGTACAAGGAACCAGTTAAGGCAAGTGCTGTTAGTGAACAGATGATAATGTCAGCACGGTGTGCAAGGGGGATGCCACCATGACTGGCTGCCTGTCTTCCCCCCCCCCCACCTACTGTAACCGGTATTAAAGTCGAGCCGAGTCAACTTATGTCACTAGCCACTGATGCTATCCGTGGCCAGGAATCAAACCAAGGTCGCTGGGTTTCGTAACACAGCGTGCTAACCACTGCACCACCGCTCCCGCTGAACGCACATTCTCTGGGTTGCGCTGGACACTGTCAACAAAGATCAGGCGCGTGCAGCCTGTGACACGAATTACTATTTGAACCGAGAAGACTGCAACGAGGTAGACTGGACTCGTGGAAACCCGATGTGAATGTACAGCAAGCGTGGAACCACTGTCGCGTCAACAGTCGAAGTTGGAGGGGTGACTGCTGAGAGAGTTTACAGATAAAGGACGTTGGGAATAGAAATACTGTTATTTATTTATGCAGCAAAGCCTCACCGTTCAGGATCCTGCCATTAGAACGTTTGGTCGATTCCCTGCCCATTTGATTTGTGTGGGAGGAAACTGGAGTTTCTGGAGAAAGTCCATCACTTTAGCCACCAACCCAATGTGGGTTGTTGGCGACGGAGCATAGGGCAATCCACGAATGGATTTTTCCTGCAGTGACCTCTGCTGATAGACACAGCACCAACCCATCCACCTATCGTTGCCCAGTCACCACACCTCCAGCGAGAGGCGTAGCAATGCCGCCCGGCCATGGCGTTCTCTGCCACGGCGTTCTCTGCCACGGCGTTCTCTGCCACGGCTCTGACGCTGCGACTGCGTGAGGCTGCAGAGCGGCGGCCGAGGCGAATTGGGGCGACCACCCCGGGCCCTGCGCTTGACGTCACGCTGTCAGATGCAGTGCTGCTGGTTAAGTTTGAAGGTGTGTTGGGGGTGGGGGCCTCTCACGGCCCTGCTGGCAGGGGGTGGGGGAGATGGAGGGTGGATTGAGGTGGTACGTGAAGGAGGGCACTGGACTCAAACTTCACAGAGCAGAGTTTAGAAAACATTTCTTGAAATGTTTTATTTTTGTGTTACCGCAAATAAAAAACCACAAGGCTACAACAATCTTTATTTGAAGCTTTCATGACTGCAGGGATCCATACTCTTAGGTTCTTTCGGTAAAGTCACGTAGGTAGAAATAAAATAAAACAAATCACGACGTTTCAAACGCAACACAAGCGGTCGTCATCAGGCAAACGAGTCAGCCTATAAAGGCAAACTGTTTATAAAGGTTTGGGATGGGCGTAGCCCAAGTGTATCAACACCAGAAGCACGTGCGGTGCATGAGTGCCAATGCAGCAACAATGCCAAACGCTGGGGATTCGACATGTATCGGACCGTGTTCGCGAACACAAGGCAGATCTGAAAGACGGCAGAGGCTGACTCATTTGCCTGATGACGACCACTTGTGTTGCGAGTGAAACGTCGTGATTTATTTTATTTTTAACTACGTGACTTTACCGAAAGAACCAAAGAGTAAGCTACAACAAGTTATTTGAATCTTAAATGTAAAAAAAATATGAGGCCCCACTCGTCTAAGTGGTGGTAGGCATCCATTTGAAGGTCGAAGGTCAGGAGGTCCTGATCTCCAGACGGAGGTTGGATGTGTCAGGAGGCAGACTCCTGGTTGTCCACCATCGCCTCCACTGCCTTCTCGTCAGTGCGGCAGGTGTTGTAGGAGCCGCACTTATCGCACTTCAGGCCCAGCACGTGGAACGGCACCCGGGTGCGCTCCAAGCAGTCATTGCACAGGATCTGGGAACGGATACAATCGGGGGGGGGGGGGGGGGTAGCAAGTGGACATCAGCCATGGAAACTGAGCGGGCGTATCAACTCACAGGCGTCCAATGGGTTGTTGCTAGAGGCCGACCGAAATTCGGTTTCAGCGCCGAAAGTTGGCAAATGGCCTCTTTTTAACTTTCGGTTTCGGCCGAAGGTAAATTTTTTACTTTCGTCTTCTTTGGTTCTTTCGGTAAAGTCACGTAGAATGAGAATAAAATAATAAATTGATAAAATAAAATAACACAATAATATTCTCACGACGTTTCGGCCACAACACAAGCGGCCTTCATCAGGTGAAGGGGCGAGACTGTCTGGTAGGACAGCGCTGGAGTGAGAGAGCCACGTTCAGATCACGGCTCTTAAGCTATGTGAGAGGAACAAAGAGCCTTGACAAAGGAATTGGCATATAATTTAGCATTGAAATGGCTGAATGATTAGCTTGTGACTGGTCACAAGCTATTGTGGCCGAAACGTCGTGAGAATATTATTGTGTTATTTTATTTTATCAATTTATTATTTTATTCTCATTCTACGTGACTTTACCGAAAGAACCAAAGAAGATGAATCATTGCAGTCACGAAAGCTTTAAATCGAAATTTTTACTTTCGGTTTCGGCCGAAACTGATATTGACTTTCGGTCGTCATTCGTCAACTGAAGATCTATTTTTAGAATATAACGCTCGTGCTACGTCAATCACTGCCTATCGGCCGGTCAGTCGGCGCTAGGCAATCCTATGCAATAGGCTGCATACACACACACGTACACACAAACACGTCAGCAGCAGCAGCTTGGGAGCGAGGTTACAGCCGCAACCATGCAGGCTGCTAATGTATATACGACCGGTCAACAGACAGCAAGCAGCCTGTCTGGCTGAATATGGAACAACTGTTGTTTCTTCACTACAACATTCGTTTGTTTGCATATAATTACTAAGTAACACCTAAAGATTTGATATTTAGCGACTCTTACTGCAGGCTCTGAATTAGTTCTAGATTTCTTTTTACTTAAAGTAGCATTGCATCATGACATATTTCATAAATCTTGTGTTCGGTAACTTCGGTTATATACCTTTCTGTTTCGGTCTCGGTCGAAAGTGTAATTAAACTTTCGGCTTCGCTTTCGGCCGAAAGTAAATTTTTAACTTTGTCTGGTTTCGGTTTCAGCCAAAACCAGAAATTCAGTTTCGGTTGGCCTCTAGTTGTATTATAAGACAACGATTGCATGGCTTCATCCAGCAGTGGATATATTGTTGCCAACGAGAGCAGGCTGGGCAGCTCGATGGCCATGCACGAGTAATGAGGCCAGCACTGTCAAGATCCTGGCTTGGAACCTGGGTTTCAGCCTTCGGTGATTGAACCGGTTACTCAAGTGTAGTGAGCCGATGGTCGTCGCACAGTCGCCAGTGACTGCAGTGAACAATCATCATGCACGTGACGATTGTGTGCAGTGAGCGGTGATACATGTGATCACAGTGCCGAGCGGGTGGTGAGCGAATGCCAAGCGGCTCACCATCAGGACGAGATTCTGGTATTCCTCCGGCATGGGCATCTGCGCCACCTCCTCGTCCATGTTGCTCCACACGGAGCTCATGGGCACCATGGATCGAGCGCAGAGCGGGCAACGGTACGCACTGCTCGGGTAAAGGCAAAAGCAAAGATCCCCCTATGGCCTTAACATATTGTTGGGCAAGTGCTGTTAGTAAGTACCTATGAAAGCTGGCACAGTACACGGGGGGGGGAGGGTGGACAGCATCACGCCCGGCCACCTTTGTCTCCCTAGTGCCGACATTTACACAATGCACAAGGTACTAATGTGAGGCAGTCAACCGAGGAGAGGCCCAGTATCAGTTCAGACAATCATCACTGGTGCTGGCTTTGAGCTAGAATTGAACTCGGGTATCCAGGTTCGTAGAGCAGCATGCTCATCACTGAATCGCCACTCCTCACAGCACAGCACCATTACTGTCAGCAGCATCACCACCACGATCACCAGCAGCAGTCACCATAGCGACAACCAGGAGTCATCGCCAGGACCACCATCCGCAGTCCCCACCACTGCACCATTACCACCGGCACCATCACCCGCAGCAGCAGTAGAAGCGTCACTATGCCAACCACCATTCGCAATCAATTTGTTGTATCTACAGTGGGTGTACTTAGATGGGTGGCATCCAGAGCTCGCCAGGGCATGGGGCTGTCAGGATGTGGCAAGGAGATGGAAAGGAGATGGCACTGCCGACCGTCACTCCCTTCCCTTTTGCGTGGAGTTTTCCCTCGGCACTCCGCTTGCCTCCTGCACGAAGCGAAACCCCCATTGATGCAATTGGCCAAATATCCCATTGTGTCATGACCCTCCTTGAAACAAGTCTTGGGACTTTACATTGGTGAACAACCGGCACGATGATTTCCCCACTGGTCGGACAAAAAGCGTCAATCGAGCCATCACCAGCGTCCACACCAAACAACATTTAAACGAGACTAGTGACCATGGGCGATTGACAAACGAGCCACAAGAAAACCGAGCGCTGGTGACAGACAACTGCGAACAACAGCAGCAGCGGCAGCACAACCCGCTTCTGCCCACTCACAGCTGCACACTGTGTGAACTACAGCCCCAGTTATCGCTGCTTGCTGTGGACACAGCGTGCAGGTGATGGCTGTGGTTGTTTGCTAGGGGAGGGGGGAGGGTGGCGAGGTGATAATCCCCCCCCCAACTCCGCTTCGTGGGTGCGGGCGTGGTTGCAGTTGCCGTCCTGCACTCACCTGTATCTCAGCGTCTGCTTGAAGCAAGCACTGGAACACAGACAGACAGAAAGCGGCCAGGTGGTTAGAGTCATCCAGTGAGATTCACGCAAAGCTGAACCGGCCGAGGGAGGAGTGGCGTGCATCAGACACGTGGTGTGTATCGGACACGTGGTGCAGCAGGTGGTGGTCGTGGTGGTGGGCTGATTAATTCGTGTTGTGTATTTTATAGACACAAACGCAACGTGGATTTATATGTATCGTCTAAATGTGACCGCATGTCAAGACGCTGCATGGAAACTGGGTGTGTTTGTTTTATAGTTTACGGGGCTCTGTTTGAGTGAAGGCGATACAAAGTCGACTTACATAGCATATAAAATAAATGCGACAGCATCCCAGAATGCTTTATATAAACAGTGGGCGTATTTATTTTACACAGCACGGATGGCTGGGGGAAGAGAGTTCTGTGAATTGTGGTATAATTTAGATGTGCCATGGTTGTGGTTGTGCCATGGGTGTAGTCATGATGTGGTTGTGCGGTGGTTGTCGTTGTGCCACGGGTATGGTCGTGCTGTAGTTGTGATTGTGCCGCGTGGTTGTGCTGCGTGGGTCACTGTGACACCAATGCTTGCCTGTGCAAGAGATGTCCACAAGGCAGAGGCATGGCAGCGTCTCGAGACGTGTGCAGATCCTGGAATCCGACAAAACACGCAAGGCCAAAAACACAGCACTGGAGATCCGAGTTCAACTCCCGACTACGGCTACCGGAAGTGATATTTGCACCAAGTTCTGAGCAACCTTTAACAACCCGCACAGTCCAGCATGAAGTATAGTCAAACAACCTCCATGCGAATGGCGAGACCATCATCCAGCAGTGGATGGAAGGGCTGTACATTATATTTCATGAACACGAATCGCCATCATCGTGTGCACCCCTGCATTGCTCGTTGCTTAAACATGGATACTTAGTGCTCGCGAAGAGAGCCGTTGCCCAAATTTTCGTCTTTTATATATATCTGTTTTACATTAAGGCCACGGGATTTTTGACAAATGTGCCCAGTTCGTTTGTTAACTGTACTTGCGCACCACTGCCAACCCAGCAGAAGCAGCATCACCAAATTAATTGTTGAATATTCTTAGTTCTTTCGGTAAAGTCACATAGAAGGGAAAACAATAAAATAATAAAAATATAAAACAATAAAATTATCTGCGTGACTTTACCAAAAGAACTAAGAATATGAATCCCTGCAGTCATGAAAGCTTTAAATAATAATTGTTGAATATTGATCATTTGTGAGTTGCATAGGGAAGGCGCTTGATGGAAAAAAATGTATTCTTAGGCTCGTGATGCGTGCATCATATCGCATGCACACAGGCACACAGGCACACAGTGTGAATTTACAGCCACCACCACCCAACCTCTCACCTCCATGCACACGGGGCAGTTTTGACGAGATACGTTCTCCACGCACTGGGGAGAAACGGGGGAGAGAAAAAAGGATGGGAAGGTAAAACACAGACACGCAGCAGTGACT